GGGCGCCGCGCTGCCCCTGCGCTGCCTCCCTTCCCCCCGCGCCCCGCCGCCGCCTTCCCGCTTTTGTTTGGCCCTGTGAGAAACACCGAGCGCTGCTGCTCCTCAGGGCTTCATACACATTAGTAAATCTTCACGGTGAAACTCTCCCCTCAGCCTTTGTCTTCGTTGCCTTAATGGTAGCTATAAATTACCGCTTTCCTTTCTCACTGGAGCATCAGGCTTCATTGCTTTTGAAATGATCAAAGTTATTCTCCTTTAAAATCCAGTGAGAAACAGCCTATTGTAGGGCAGGGACGTTCTCTGCCCGAGTCAAACTCCTCCATGAGTGCATAAAGCTGCTCCCTGTGCCCCCTCAGCACTGCACCCTGGCACCAGGCTCCTCTTACCACGAGAAAGTAATCAGAAATCAACACTTTGACCATCCCTATGATGTTATGACTAAACCACCACAGTCATAGTGGAAATTCTCCCATCCACAGCACTTTCCATTGAGGGTCCTTACAAATAACTATCCTAAAGGAGCAGAACAGCAGTTCCCCATCAAAGCGCTAACTGAACCGTCTCAAAAGCTGTTAAACACTCCTGGCACCTTCCACCCAAGACTTCTCTGAAGGAACTCGGGCAACATTTGTACGACTAAAACTCATATTGCTACCAGATACAACAGATAAAATCCCCTCCAAAGGAAAAAAAAAATAGTGACTAGCAAGAGTCACTTACCTGAAGCACCAAGGATTTCTGAAATAGCAAGTGCAAAGTTTTGTAAAATATAGCACAAAGCTTGTTGAAAGGCTGGAAGCTGCCAGCTTTTCACTACCACCCGGGCTACTGGCAGCTTATTTAGGAATGCCAGAGCTGGATCTAAAGATCTCAATAGGCAGCTCTGAAAATAAATAGGACAAATATTAATTTTATCTTAGTTAATACAATCTTTCCTTACACATAGCCTTCACAAAGCACTCCAAGATTTAACTAAAATTTAGCATACAATACTATGAAGAACAGAGCACAAGGGTCAGTACTGGCTACTAGAATCTTGATGCTGGTACAGAGAAGCTAAAAGTTGTTGAAGTTGAGCCTTAAAAAAAGTCTGATAAAAAACAAACAAAACCAAAAAACCCATAGGCAGTCCTGCAAGAGGGGGAAATCACATAATTTTATCACAAGGGGAACAGCTACTAGCCAATCTTTGCAAGAAGCATATGTAAACATATGTAAACAAGATACATACACAACTATACCAAAGATAGCAAAAAAATCCCCAACCACAAAAAAAAAAAAAAAAAAAACCAACCCCCCCGGGTTTTACTTAAGTACTAAATAACTTTTGAAGTCTTGAACTTCAAGGGGTAAGCATTGCTTTATGCTCTATATTCCCTGTCAAATTTTATAATTATAAACAAACATTTAGTTAAGCAAATCTATATCACTATTTCATTCCTACTTGAATATTGTGACAACTAGTGGGTCTGCAGGGCTGAGTAACAGGACACCACAATGACCCAAAACTTAATACAACTGAGGAGCCAGGAGAGTTTGTGATAGAAGCCCAAAACCAGGCAGCGGAAAAAAACAAAACCAACCAAAAATAGCAGTGCTAAGAAAGACAAAAGGGAAAAAGGAAGACAGACAAGAATACTTCAACATGCCTATCCAGTCTTGAACATTGGTTTTCTCTGAGATGAAGCACTCCAATCTTAGTATCCAAGGGTTTTCCAAATTACTAATCAGATTGTGGGGATCAACAGAAAATAACACAGCTTTAGCAATCAGCATTAAATTTGGCAATTTAACAATTGCTTTCAGTGGGAGCCGGACCAGCACAAGCATATGGCTTATCTCAAGCACAGATGAGATCTTGAGTAATTTTTCCAAAAGAACCTCTCATGTAATTTATATTCCTTGTTTAAGTCTTTTTACGCCACTGGCAGAAAATCTTTTCTGAAATAAACATCAGATTCCTTGATTATATTTTAAATGTGGTTGGATCTTTATCTTGAAATACCACTGTCCCTGAACTGAGCTAAGAACCTTTTCTGTTTATTTCAGGGCTGAATATAAAATGTTTCATGAATGAATATACATTCTTGAGTTAATAGAAATTTTCTTTTTGCCTCCACATGAAACTTTTCGGACAGAGCCCGGGGGGGGATGTGCAGCAATCTGACATCTGTGCTTCTCTAATAAAGGAGAAGAGCTTCTCAGATTGCCACCAGTTACAGTAAGCACATTTCTGGACAGTGTGCTGAGACCAGTGGATAGACAAACATTAGCCTGACTTGTGCTTAAATTCTCCTCACTGAGGCTAATGAACATTATCATCTATCAAATTACCTCAGACCTGACATATGGAAAAGTGCTGCGGAGCCAGCAGTTGCTCAACACACTCTACTTACCAAGACCTCCTTTTTTTGCTCCTTTCACTTGCAGGAAATAAGATTCAAGACATTTTCTGATGCAATAAATGCCTTTCAGAAATCACATTTACCTTGTAGCCTCATCAGAAGTCAGCTTCATTCAGAAATCACATTTACCTCGTAGCCCGGATGCTCGCCACCGGCCATCCTCGGAGAGCCCCTGCAGAGCAGCTGGGACGGGCAGACCTGCTAAGCCCAGAATAGGCGGCAGGCGGCCGGTTGGCTGCAGGGCAGGCCCGGCCTTGGGCCGGCGCAGGCCCCAGGCTGCGGCCTGCAGCCGGGCCCGTCCGCTCGCGGCTCGGCTCGACAGCGCCCCCTGGGAGAGCCCGGGCCGCCCGCCCGCTCCGGCAGAACGCCAAGCGGGAAAACGGGAAATATCCCTCCAACACAGACCAGGGAGAGGGGGGAGTCAGAATATCTCCGCGTAATCAAACTCCTTGCTGCCTTCCCTCAGTTTTTAATAAAACATCCTGTGATAATCTCATATAGATTGACAGCAGGTAAACCCCAACAATCTCAGGCTAGTCCTAACTGGATCCACTGTTCCTACGCTGAGGAAATTGCTTGCTGTATCCGTCAGCCTCAGAGCAAAAATGGCCAGAGCCACCGCTCAAAAGCGGGTCAGAATAAGCCGGTGTTTCTGGCCACAGCTAGAGACAGAAACTGCTTGTGACAAGGGAACACAGGGCAGGGAGAGGGGCTCGCTGAACAGATGCATACACAACACGTAATATGCAGAAAGTAAAAAAAATTTTTTTTTTTTTTTGGATAGCTGGACCCCATTCATCCATTCTGTAGGGACTGTTTTACTAAACACATCTGCACAGACATTTTCATCTACCAGTGTAAACTAGGGCTTATATTTCTAGCTATACATATTGCCCCATGTCAGAAGATGTAAAGGGAATGGGAAGAAACACGTTTACTCTCTGATGCCCATTCACAATGCAAATGACATACTAACATTAAGGTTACTCATCCATTAAACAAAAGGAGGTACTTAAACCTACACGTCAGGCTTCAAGAATGGACCCTGTAAAGAAAAAATCCCATATTCACAGCCAGGCAAAAAGATAACTAGCCAAATTATTGTTAGAGACTTTTGAAAATAGCACATTAATGCTACTTCTCATATTAAAAGTTAAGTTTTATTGCAGTTCAGCCAATATACTAGACCTAAGACTGTTCTATATGTCCAAGTTACACTCAGCATCCAATGGACTGGTAGCTTCATCATCAGGCACTATCCACCTATCACCTGGGAGCCACCAAACCCCAACCTGCATCCAACCGTTCTAGCTATCTGGGATATCAAAAAATATCAAAAATATTATCTTGCATATTAGGTGAGCATGTTTGAAAAAGTACTGAGCATTAGTTTAGGGTGAGCTACCCCATCCAAAATAAAATTAAAAAAAAAATAGCAAGAGAGAAAGGATTTTAATAGCATCAACTAATCAGATGAGGTTAAAGAAGTTAAGTCTGTCTAACACAGATATCCTCTGTGAAAAGTCCAGATCTAAGAAAGTAGTCAAATATAAGAGCTATAAATGCTTTTTCATTATTACACAAAGGAGCAATTTGGGGCCAGAAGAATGAGATGCAATCTCTATGTTTTAACATAAATACATAGAAATTTTAGAACAAAGTACATGTGCTTTATTTTCCCCTTCCAAGATTAGGGAACACACACACACACACACACTCTGCAGACTGAAAGGACACAGGCAGCTCAGCATGAGCAGTGGTATGGGCATCACCTATAGTTTTCTAATATTACTATGAGATCAAAACAGAATCTTGTTCTGATAAAAAGTAGTGACAAAGGTACGTCTTAGTTTAATAACGAAATAAATAGGACAAAAGTAAAAATAGTCAAAAATTTAATACATGTGCTATGTTTATAAATTATGGAAATAAAACTAATCACAAGATGTCACTAATTTGTAGGTAATAAAGAAAAGATGCTACAACATTGTATGAACTGAAAAAACTTGACTCAGCTTCTCATTAGAAGAGAGACAATACTGAGATAAGTTTATACAGTGAAGACCTCTTAAATACACAGCCCTGAACTTCTGTATGGTAATTTGTGACACTTGAAAACTGGCTTGTTCTTAAGTCACATATGCACTTCAAAGTGATTTCACCAGAGGTTTCAAATGAACCAAGATGCCTCTTGGTATTGCCAATTTCCAGCTCTACAATAAATTAAACTTTCCAAATGCTTTGTGTTTTTTTTGTACAACTAGACTAAAATCTTCTATGGAAAAACAGAAGCATCCCAAATGAAGCTGATTGCAATAACAGGACCCAAAGTGTATCAATTCAAAAGAAAAAGGGGAAAAATATTTCTGTTTCTTTAGAAAAGTTAAATCCTGAAGTCCCAGTATTTGTTAAGTAAGGCTTCCCATTATTCCACTGCATCACAGTTGTCTTTATTCAGTCATTTGGCCTTTGGGAACCCCGGTCCACCCTTAGTTGCAGTTAGTAGAAATATCAGCAGCAACCATATAATAAATTTTGAAAGGGTGGTTCAAGTGGAAACATTTTTTCATTATAAACAGTTATTCTAGGTTTTTCATTTAAGTGGGCTGCACTGTAAGTTCTGAATTGCAACACAACATAGCCAGTTATATCATAGAAGATTTTTTTTTAAAGACAAACTTACAAAACACAACAATAGGTTAAATAAATAAAAACATCGGTTAAAAAACACGCTTAATTTCCTCTGTGCAATTATGTACCAATATGAAAAATATTACTTTGATCTCTGCACATTTCACGGTTCAGTCTCCTGGAATTCACTAAAAATAATACTGACAACAAAAATAAAGGAAAAAGTGATTTGTTGACAAATCAGTGCTTTGGAGCTATTAAAAAAAGCACAAAGAATTTGTAGTTCCCTTGCAGTAGAACAGTGATCCAACATGTTAAAAATTAAACATTGGTAATAATGTTAATATATAAAAGATTAGTTTAAAAACTATAGAATGACCTTCTTAGCAGAAATGGAGTGTATATATTGGGGTCTATGACATACAGCATATCTGAGGGCAAGTTCACAGAATGCTGAAAGGCTCACTGCACGTTTTCTATGGCAAGGAAATATTGCAGCTTTAAAATAAGCTGCACAATACTCATCTCTATCTCTTTCACATGAAAGTGTGTAAAAAGCAAATCAGCAAATAAACTCTAAAATAGATTTATACCAAAATCCTCTTTTTTACATTGAGTTTACAGCTTCTATCCTCTTGCCTGCACTATTATTGGAGTATCCTTCAAGAAAAGTCAAAGTTGCATTTTGGGGCCATGAACGAGTTCACGATACAATGTACTGGCAGACAGAACTTTGCATACTAATGACTGACTCCTTGTTGCCTCCCCCCACCCCAGTTTTCTAATTTTAAGATATTCATCTACGGGACAAGAGGTCAAATATCAATTCCTTTGACGAGGGATGCCTCCAACGTGATGTTGAACTCCTGCAAGGTCTGCAGCACCCGAATCAAAGAGTTCACAAGTGTATGGTCCTTAATCAGTGCTGCTTCTTCATACATCTGTGCTGTGATCGGGCAGTCTGCAAGCAGAGCGATCCAGTGGTGCAAAAGATGGTCTCTGACAAAGTTGCATTTCACAATTTGGAAAGAAAAATAAAGCGGAGTTAATTTTTTTTTTTTTTTTTTTTTTTCATTCTAAACAGGTCTATTGTCTTCTCTATGTATTGTAATAGGGAGGGGAAATAGGAGCAATTACATGTGAGACTTGTTTAGGGAGAAAGCATCCTTACCTGAGGAACATTTCTATTTTTTTCCCCCCCCTTCACATCAAAAGGAATAGTTCCCAGGAAGTCTGGAATCCCTGAACAGACCCAAATTCACTGCCCTGCTCTACTCTTTGTATGTTAAAGGCTTCCTACATGGTTCCGGTATCTCTCCTACACTTTTCTTATAATTAAGAGGGAGCAGACAGAGAATTCATAAAGGCAGGGAAGAGTTTATGACTGCTGGTTTTCTGTTCTATCCCCAGATCCTGCTAGATGTACAGAAGGAAGTTATTAATGCTAATCTCTGACTGTTCTCTCCCCATTCAGCTGCTCAGTGCTCTGTGTTGCCTCCTTTCACAGCTCCAAACTTCCCACACTTCAACTGCCTAACAGCTTAAATAGTCAGAACAGAACAGTTCACACTGCCAACACCAGTTGAGTGGCTTAATTTTATGAATATGCAACATCCTTTGCATTTTATTAAAATAATAATAAAAATAATAAAAAATACCTGGCTCCAAGACACACCAGCATCTGAAACTTGCCATCCTTCCCAATGTTTCTAGGTGTGTTGTTGATAGCAGTGATAAAGCGGCAGAAATTCCTGGCCCTTGTCTGCCAGTTCTCTTCAGGAACCATTTCATTCTGCTCAAGAGTCTCATAATATGTTTGTGCTTTTTCTTAAAAGAATGAAGGGAGATGAAATTTCATTAGTGTATGCAACCCTCCTAGAATCTCTGCAGTATCATTCTTCAGTACTTGGAATACAGTTAAGTAGAGTTCACAGACCTTCGGATTCAGATCATTAAGTTTTGTATTACCTCACTATAAAGCTTTCCCCAAAAGCTGTCTTTCAAATCCATAAAGCTATCCAACACCCACATCTGACAGTTGGCAAGTCAGCAGGAACGTTTGTGTTATAGAGAGGACAATTACTATCAAAAGACCTAGATTCAAAGTTTGTCCATGAAATTCCCAAGTGATTACATTTTTTCTTCCCTGTTTGATTCTACTCTCGTGTGTTTCCTACTTCAAAAGGGGGATTCCACTTTCTTTCCTCAGAACAGTGCTAAAATGTAAGATCTACTGCATTTAGACATGACAGTAATATGATGACACAAAAATGGTATCAAAATACTTGCTCATAACACAGCAATGCTATTAAAGTCCTTTTCTAAGACATGATTTTATGCACTCAGATGAGTTATTCAGCTCTAAGGCAAAGACATTAGACTGCTGTGTTAAAACACATATGTTTATAATCCCCTTTTAATAATGTCTAGTAAGTACCATGAACACTAGATCCACAATTTTTTTGTGCTTTATGAGGACGCTTCCTAGCTATTTTGCTGCTTTCACAGCCTTCAGTTAAAAAACAGGTTGCCATATTACAATTTATCACCTAACTTAAATAATTCTTTCTCACTAGGGAAGTCTGTTTTGCACTACTTCTGCTAGCAGAGTATAGTCCAATTACAGGACAAGTACAGTGTCAAGTTTGGCGGAAGACAGATGCTCTTTCTTTCAACAATAACAGAGGTAAAAGCTCCTATGTTAATTCAGTTGCTGCAATGCCTCCAGCAAGTATGCTATGCACGCCAACCAAGACAGTGGCAGCGATAAAGGGAACACAGATGGATATGTTTTCCTCACACTTACCTAAAAAGTCCCAAATAAAGACGTTTTTGAAGAGCCTGGGTGATTTAAATCCATGTTGAAACACTTGCTCAAGAGCTGAAACAAGTCCACTTTCTCCACAGAGCAACAGTGTGAGACTGCCTCTCTACCAAGCACACACAGAAAGCACAAACATTTAGCTCACTTTGGCAGCCTGGACACAAACTTGACACAAGTATTTATTACTTAAACCAGTTTTTAAGTAAATAGATGCTCAAAGTCACATTTCAGTGCCAAAAAAACAGCCCCAGAGAGTATGGCTCTGTTCTTAACAGTCCTGAGCCTCCAGAAATTTGCCAGCCTTCAGCCAGGCTGAAGAAAGCAGTTTTAAGGATTCCAATAGTCTTGAAAAGAAGTCACAGAAAGGTCCAACAAAGATTGTGAGCAAGTTTTACCACAGTAATGCCCACTGTGCAGGAAATTTTAAGAAAATATTTTCCACTGCAGCATGCATCTCAAACTGTTTGTTGCCAAAATAACATTTAATCCAAACTCTGAATATTAGAAAAAACAACAAATTTGTCTGTACATCGTGGTAAATTCTATTTTGCAAGAACACTTTCAGTGTATCTTGTTTTAGGATTATTTTTTAAATCTGTGCATCAACAGAAATTAGACTGTCCATGAACTTGCCACGTCACCCTGATCTTTGAAAGGGTAGATGCAAAAGAAGTGGCAGGACACACATGTAAGAACTAAGAACTTCCAAGGGATCTCCACTAATGCTCACCAGGGCTGAGTTGAGAGAGAGCTTACCGAGCTGACAAAAGCACTTCTCCCCGTTCCCACCCATGAAATAACTGCTATGACAGTTAGAAGTCACCTTCACATTACAACAAGCACAGCTTCAAAGTGTACTGTGAGTATTTGAGAGGTCTTTTACATTATAAGCAGCCAACACAATGGAAAATGTGTAAATAAGCAAACAGATCCACACACCTTTCAGTAGTCAGCTAATTCAGAATACACTAAATAGATGACAACAATCCTGTCAGCAGAATCTTAGTCCTAAAAAGAATTTGCCTCATAATATTGAATTTAAATTAACAGACTATTCCAGTTAGCAGAAAAAACTAGGTACTTGAAGATGTACTCTCACATCAGTGAAGCTTCAACACTTTATTTTTGTTCTGTTTAAGGAACAAAAGTGCTTTCCAGTATGCATTCTCCAGTGCCTATTGACACGATTTGTATGGCTGGAGGGCCATCACACTGACAACACAGCACCGTACCTCTTTCTCTGGCTTGTGAAAGTGCTTGACAATGCCATTGACAGCTTCACCAATAGCTTCTTGTATCTGACCAGTATTTAATTCTGCAAAACATAACATATTTCCATTTACTTCATAACAGCATTAGAGACAGTATCTGTGCACAAGGGATAATGCACGCTGCAAGGAAGTTAACCACCATGCACTGGTATAATTTATGATTTGACAAAAGCGTGCTGGATTACTGGCACTAAAAAATATCACTCTATTTTCATTTACTTTGAAGGTGAAAGCAGAATGGTTTGTTGATATGTTTAAGTTGAAACACCACAGTTTTAACATGGCAGTAGGGGGAAAGATTTTTGAGCATCATGTGATTTTTATTTTTTTTTTCTCCCTCAGTTTTGCGCCCTTGTCTGAAAGGTATGTTTATTAGGACCAAAAAACCTGGGAATCCTAGAAAGGCTCTACTGTAAATTCAAGTATGTTTGGGAACAAAGTAACCAGCTAATTTATCAAGAATCAGATAACCTCAAAACAGTGAGCTTCACAAGTTTGCTATGAGCGCTGCCCTAAAACAGAGAAACCTTCCAATTCCGTTTGCAAGCCGCTTTCCGCAAGAGGCGAGGCCAAGCAGCTCGAGCCCTCACTCACTCGGCTTGTTGTTCGGCGAGATGGTGACCAGCCTCCTGATCATGCTTGGTGACTGCTGCAGCGGAGGAGTCCGGCACTGCCGCTCATCAGCCTCTGTGTGGGAAGTCAACAACTCTCCCACGAGGATCCTCTCCAAGCTACCGTCATCCATGCCCTTTCCAAGCCACCTTCCACAGGGAAACCTGAAAACAAAGCAGGTGTTCAGATGAAGTCCTCCAACCCCGGTTCAATTTCATGTCAAAGACTTAAGTGTAATTGCTAACAACCCCATTCCACTAGCACAGTTACAAGAAACACTTTGCTCTCGTCTATCAGTTAACGCTTCTGCCAGCAGAGGGAGCACAAATAAAGCCATTTTTCCATTCAATTTTGTACTAATGCTGCACTAGTTGATGCACGGAGGAAACAGCGAAGGATTTTGTCTCATGTCCCACACAACTCAGGCTGCAGAGGGAAATGCGCTAGAAAGGAAAGGCCCATCATATATACTACAGGTGGATGGTGAGATATAGCTGTGTTCTTACTGAGTAGATTACATGCCAGGTGCAAGAAACAACATACACTTATGTTCCCAAACACCAACACATCTACTGAAATGGGGACACTCAGTCAGACACTAAGCAGCAAAGGTGCTCAGCTGCTCCTTATCACTCTCTCTGAACCAGTGTTGGTAGCAACTAACACGGGCAGAAAAATGAACAGCACCCAAAAATGGAATCACCTCACATAACTACAAACAAGCTTACACAGAGAACAAAGCAGATATGCCCACCACTTTCTCATCAACACGAGTATAACAGTTCCTCTAGACAAAGAAAAGGTCACCAAACCATGCTGTATTTGACATGAATAAATTAATTCTTACTATGAATATTGTTTCGCTTAGTATTTTTGTTCGGCAAATAATGAATTCTAACACTCATAAGCCCTTTTATTCCTGCTTGTGTTCAAAGTTCACTCTGTAGCACTTAGAGCCTTAGTATAAAATACCACCTATGTTTGATGAGCAGCTAGCTTTAAACAATCATTTCTTTCTTGTCTCAAGTCAAATTCTTTTTAGGATGTTTAACTGTGAATTCATCTTTTCCACCAGTGTTCGGAGATCTGAAAGGACCATCTGCAAATTGAAAATTCAGCTTTTTATTTTAAGTATCATGACTTGCTTAATGTCAGAAGTCAAATGACTTTTCTACGTCTTCAGGTAAAGATGCCTGTAGTTAAAGAACTCCAGGAGATAAGACCTTCGTGAGCAAACAAGTCCTACTGTGCCAGCTCCTCATAGAAATTCTACTTATCCAACATCAAGCATCAGGATAACACTTACTTGTAAGTATGCCCTGTAATTTCATTTCTGACCATAACATATTCCACTAGCCACTTGGCATACAGTCCGGAATTATCATGTCCTATCTGTACTGTGGTCAGTTTTCCCAGGTTTTGGCACTGTAAAATAAAGACAGATTTTTGTCAGAATAAAGAGTGGTATGTTGAAGGAATAAACTATTGGAGAATTTGCAGAGATGAGAAATCAAACACAGAGGTCATCTCCTGCTCCGATTTTATGACTGCTTCTGGGTTTTTAAATTAGGGAGGTGGAGATTTTTCTTCCTTTTCTCCTTGTCTTTTTTTTTTTTTTTTTTTGGTGGGGAGAGGAATAGTTTTCTTCTCTAAGTTCTGTTTTGATCAGCAAACAAAGCATTATTTAGATTATTTAGATTTTTAAATCAAAGTTTATCCAAGAGTCAAAGATTCAAAGAACTATTTTTGTCTTTGCATCCCGTAAGCAGAGGGGTATGACACCTCTTGCCTTGTGATATAAGGACAGAAGTCTTGTCCTACATTGCCCAAAGGATTTGTCAGTTCTTTTGCTTTCTGCGTTATTAAATACACAGATTATATTTGCTATGTGTCAGCCTAGTTAGTATTTGAGACTAATCTCACAGAACACACATATCAAATGTAACACAAGGTGCTACAGCAAGAGGATAATTTAAAATTGAACAAGTGCAACATGCAGCAAAGCGTTGCTTGTATCAAGCAATACAAACCTCAAATGTCATTTCTAATATATTCCTGGGAACCTGCAGGACACCTGTTTCACCCAGTTCTCCTGAAATACAGATCCACGGATTGGCTGTAAACATCGAACCACCAAGTTTCTTGCTAGGAACAACCAATATATGGTATGGTATCACTGCAAACAAGACAAACACAACTTAAAAATGAAAAAGGGTAGTTATGTAACCTCTTTTACAAAGAGAGGTAAAAGTAAGTCATGATAATACTGCACTATCATGCAATATTCAAAAAGCTGCTACTTAATCACATTGGCACTTCTGCACTATACACTGACTGACAATCAGAAACACACAAGCATGCTAATATACACAAAGCAACCATTAGGAGGTAGATCTGATTGTAAAACATCATTAAACGATCAAAGAAATATACGGAGCAATGTCTTTAAATGGGTGCAAACTTTTTTTTCCTTTGTTTGCCAGTCTTAAAACATCATGAAGATGCTTCCCCGAACCGAAGTTTACAGACAAGGAAGTAGAAAGGTTTGTTCATGTATCCACCCATGATCCACAGCTCAGGGTGGATCAAAGATCAATTCCTAACCAGTGTTTACAGGCACGGGTAAACATCCCTACACACACACACACACACACACTCTTCTCCCTAACAGTCATTCACATCCAATTACAACCTGAAGCATCTAGTTGCAGGGCTTGCTTGTTGCAAGTTCAACTTGACTTAGGAGGTAGAAGGAAATACATGTGCTCTTAAATTGCCTAGCATCTCATGCATGGCTTCCTATTAACCAAACTGCTTTTATAACAAAACCCAATTATCTGAATGCTCAGTGCTTCTTTGCAAGATGCCCTTTTTTATAGTGCATAAGTGGGTTATAGTTGAGGCTTTTCAACTCAGGCATTTAATATGTTGCTTCCTAAATGTCTCTTTAGCTGACAGTGGCCTCAGGAAAGCATTTAGTGGTTGGATTTTCTTAAAAGCTTGATGCACATGGCCTTTAAAATGAATTGAAACGTTTCCCTTTTTATTTTCGGTGATGATAGTCTCAAAGTAACTGACAATTTAACAGCATCTAGATGACCAGATCTTAGCACTGTCCACAAAACTCAAAGTATGCTACATGGAGTCATTTCTCATCATTTCTCTGCCTATAATTTCGGCTGAGGAATGGATATAGGTAGTCATTCCTCAAGCATGGATTTGGTTGGAATTAAGTTGTTCTGCAAATCATTTATACAGCAAATATATGCACTTCATGTTACAAAGTGGTAATGAAGAAAAAGTATTTTGCTTAGATTTCTGCTTCCTTTCTCTTTTATCCCTCACACAATCAGGGATCTATCAAGGATAGCTCTTACCTTGGGGCCAGAGGCAACCATCTATCCCTAATTCACAATTTTATAAATGTTATCAATCTTTCTTATCCTGAGATAGTAAAGCAAAAGCACTTGAAAGCTCCATAGCATATTTAAGTATTAGCAATAAGCAACAACATGTGAAAAGTTTCTGTGGGGTACATCCCTCCACACCTTTCTTTTAAGCTACCACTTAAAGGAGTTAGAATTCTAGCACAGTCTTCAGTGGGGAATTTAACTGGCTATCCTAAACTCAGAGATGGATGTGTGGCAAATTTTGCTGAGCATTAAAAGAAGAAAGTAACAAAAGGCATACCCTCTGTCCAATTCCTAAGATGTACTAAGTTAACATTCTTATTTTGTTACTTTTTTTTCGGTAATAACCTATACGGCTCTTGTTTAGTATGATCTCAGAAGTCCAAACCAAAAATTGCTTGAGTGCATCTGCTTCATCCTGCAGAATGAATCAAAGTGGCCACTAAAGCACCTGCTTTGCCCAGGGAGAAATAAAAGCCTTCAGTCACACACACAGAAACGCTCCTTGCCTCCGGAAAGGGTATCAGAAATAGTTACATAGCACATGCAGAAGAATACCAGGAAGAAAGCAGAACCAGGACAAGAAGGGACATTGCTCAAAGGTGCTTAGAAATCTGTATGAACTCAACTAGTTCTCAAACTAGTAAACAGAATTCCAGGAAAAGCAAATACTTACAGACTGTTGTGAAAACATTGGTAAAACAAAAGTAATCAACTGCATTGAATGACAGGAGATGATACAAAAATTGTTCTTTCTCATCATCACAGCGCAGGAACGCATAACGCTTGTAGAGTTTCCTGACAAAGCAAAACAAATAAACTGTCATGGTAACATGAGGCTTTCAGTGAAATGTTTTCTATTATGTAAACTATGTAAACTATGAAGAATGTGCAATTACAACGGACAAGCGATACTTGCAGAGCCAACAGAATTTCATTTGCCAAGAAATGTAGAGACATTGCAAGCCTGAAGTCTCAAATGTATCAGTTCAATCATTTGCACTATTTTCTAATTAAAACCAAGGTTTGGGTTCATTTAAAGCTCTCCCTCCCTCCTCCCCAAGAAATCAAAGATAGGAAAATGACTTTTATACTTTCTAGAATAAGATTCTCTCATCTCTCTAACATGTAAAGCATCTGAAGTAAAAAGTTCTTGCAAGATGCTTCTAAACAGGTGGTCCCGGGGGCGAATGCTCTAGCACATAGACTCTTCTGTAGCTCTTCTAAGCATTTTTACAGGATAACATGGCAAACTCTGGGACAATCTACTTGTATCAGATCATAGGTGATATTCTAGGACCTTCAGCAACCAACATATTATGACAGGCTATAGCTTCAATCCAGATACTAAGCAGTTCCTGAAATAACCAAAATCACAAGCATGCAAAGGTGGCCTAAAGTTCTGCTATTCTATTTTCCTAGGTTATAAACTCTTCGCTAGACCTGTAGCATCACACAGAACCTCAAATATTTTACATGGAAATATCAAAAATACAGCTCCAGTGGCTGCTCGCAGTGGCATTAGCAAATATAAAAGAATGAGCTGTAAACAATATCTTTACTGATGCCATTCAAGTACACTGAAGAGTTTACATCTGCAAGACTTGCAGCAGAAAAACCTTGACAGGAGCATAAAACCTCAGCCTTTAAGTGAAAAATTTAATTGAAAGATACTCTGTTACTCACTTGCATGCTAGCAACAACCACTATTTTGCTATTTATTGCAACAAATTAATAACAGTGTTGGTGAATAATCCTAAAAGGAGAATGCCATGATGCATCAAAATTCAACTGAGGCCAGAGGAATCCAGGCCACTAAGAAACACAGAAATAGGCATTTGCAATGTTGATGCTGCCATGGACAGAGAGTTCCTGTCAGGAGGACATCCCAGTAATTCCCCCCCATTTCAGTTATAAAAAAAAGTTATCTGACTCACAAGCCAGAAATTGGCAAAAACAAATCAGTGATTAACACACACAGATATTCTCACTTGCATAATAAACCTATCACCAGAGATTAATATTCAGGAAAGCTAAAGAGAGAGCCTTAACCCAACACAGCCTGCCCATAGCCACACAGGCGTGTCCAGGAGGGTCCTATCGGTCACTGAGTCTATGCTGCATTTGAACAGTCTGAAACTGTTCAAACTCAGACAGTCTGCCCACAAGGCTGTGTGTCCTCCTGTGTTTTCCAAACAGCTGCTTTCTGCTGATCTTCACACATTTTTTTGTGGCCTTTCTGAATGCACGGGGTTTCCTACTTCTTTATAGGAGCCTAGCAGCATCAAGTCTTTTTGGCTGTCAGAATCCGTGTTATTCCCTTCAGCCATCTCTACGTTATGACAGTGATTATGATTTTGCAAGATCATCGGTAACCAAGAGTTCTTAAGGACACAGTTTTAAATGATAGCTATCTGATTGGATCCCTGTGGGCATGTGGACTGTGGACACATTTTTCCTATCACTTAACTAGGGTAACAGGATGAATAGGCAAGTGAAAATAATTCCACTTTAGTTACCCTGAGGTCTCAATAGTTTCACAATCCATTCATTGGCTTTTTAACTGGTGTGATCCTACTGCATTTCTTGGATTCTGCTGAGATTATTAGGATGACCAAAGTTACCATGATCGTCAAGTGTCTGCCACATTCACAAATGCATCCTCAAGAGCTTCTGCATGAACTCCACAGCAGCAAAGAAGCAAGATCAGATTAACAGTAAACAAAGACTGTTTCCTATATATAGATAGAGAGGTAATAACTGAGATGCACATCAAGACACTAGGGGCCTGAAGTAACATGAGTTTCTTCTGTTCCTCAATGCTAGTCCCTTTACAGTCTAGAAAGCAACCACATGTATTTCAGTTTCCATCTATTTTTAGCAAAAGCCAAGTCAGGAGAATGGGTTAGCTACAATGTCTAACAGCTAGTTGTTTCAACAAAAGCTATCAAGTTAACTATAAAGTGACAAACATGATTATCCTTAGAATGTCATTGAGCTTAGCACTAATCCCTCCACAGACAACTAATGCAACACACTTTCAATTCACACTGCCTAGAATGCCATAATCTTTAACTAGATTGTCCCAATACACAGTACAGAATTCAGGATTACATAGAATCAGTGTCACTTCCGCACAAGTTGCCCTTTGCTTGTCACTTTCATTTAAATAGATATATTCACTGCTGTCTCTCACTGTTTAAGACATGTTTAAGTCTGCTCTAGAAAAACAGAATCTGTCTGATTGATGAACAGGGCATTGGCAAGTGTTGAAAACTCTTTTTTGGGGGTGTTTTTTTCTTCTTTCTTTTCCTTTTCGGAATGTCCTCTCACATCATTTGTTCTGTATGGGCAAGCGCTACCAAATTTAACCTGATCTAGAAGTTTCACTCCATTGGAGAGGCCCAACTTCAATTTAGAAATAGAGGCAGGCTTAATAGGTGTCCTCACTCTGTCCCTCAGCTTTTCCTTGCTCACTGTTGGGAAAGAAAACAGGAAGGCTGTAACATCACCAGCAACTTCAACATAATAACAAGTCAAACCTCAAATAAATAGCAATTAGGGGGGGTCCAAGGGACAAGGCAAAGCCATTTATTGGAAGGTGGTATGATGGAGACAAGAAGAAAGGAAAAGCAGACAGCATAGGTGAAGCTGTCTTCAGAAAGCAGCCTTCAGTTCAAGCTATTGTCAATGACGAGAGCCCCCCAAAGAGGAATCACTTGATTCTGACAGTATGATTGTGAACAGTATTCCCAACCTTCTCAAACAGCATGAGTGTTCCCTGAACAAGTTGTTTTCCTGAACATCACTATATAAGCCTCAGATACCTATACATAAATACCGTTAGCACTAAATATGGCCTGAAATCCGATTGGTGCAACTACTAACAACTCAAATATTCCTGCTTACAGTGTTAATATAACAACCATGTTCTCTGGACATCAGCATGGTAATTTTGTTCCTGTGACAAACGTTTAATTTTGCCTTTCAAAGTCACATACCTGTAAGAAACACTAGGGACAAAGAACTTCAGACAAAATTTAAGCCAGCAGAATCTGGGACTCCTCCAGGTTCAAGCCTTCAGTTTTTAAACAACTTTTGCCCTGTTTTTCTCTGTACACCATGTAGTCCTCAACTTCTGTCTACAAGAATTATTCTAAATAATTTTGTTTCTCAGACTCAGCGTTTGAGTCTTTTCATAGCATTAAGATATTTAACTTCATATATGAGGAATAAGTAATATTTTGAAATGTGTTGGAGAATTAACAAGAACAGCAGCTTCATAGTCAGATATTTGACTACTACAAAACCAGTTCAAACCATCTGTTTTTAAGCAGGTCATAAATACAAAACCTTGACAGTTGAGGACAGAGCAAACAAAGCTGAGATATTGTCAATCTTATCAAGTAACAGACAATCATGCTCTAGCATTTTTAGATGGAAAATTTAAAAATGTGACCAGACTTCATCTTGAGCTTACTGCCCCAAAATGAGATGCAGAAAGAGGCCATCACATTCCCGGCACCCTTCGTGGTACTGCATGTACAACATTTATCTGCTCTCTTAAAATCAGCTTTGCTGTGGTTTATTTACATGATTTTACATAGCACTGAAATGGGTTAAGATGAGATAACAAGCAAATGTCTCGGCTGTGGAGACAAAAGTAAAATAACAGTCATTCTTTAAGTCACACTAACCAAAACCACAGAAGAGGGTCTGGATGTGCCTTCACACAATTTGTGTTGTGACAGAACTACAACCACAAGCTAAGCTGCTGTTTTCCATGAGAAAACACAAGCAAACCAAGGTAAACAAAACAGTAGATCTCATCATTACAGAAAGGGGACCAAGATGAAATGCTTGACTCAAAGAACTAAGCCCCACTAGACTTGATCCCTAGCAATTTCTGAAGATTTCAACCTGAAGTTGAAAGTCTCCTGCTAGCACAGAACTTATTCTGCATCTTATGAACCCTAACACAGGATCAGAATCCCCAAATTGCTCATACAAGTGGGTATGGAGACACCTGGAAGGCCAGTGCGTTCTGTTCTTTTCGCACACTGCCACTCCGATGAAAAAGACCCTTTGCTTTTGAAGTTAAACGGCTGAACAGGCTTAACTTATAGAAGTCGTGTTCAGAATATTTCAGAATATTTCAGAATATTTAAGGTTGGAAGGGACCTCTACAGATCATCTAGTCCAACCTTCCTGCTCAAGCAGGCACACCTACAGCATGTGGCACAGGGTGGCATCCAGGCGGGTTTTGAAGACCTCCAGAGTAGGAGACTCCACAACCTCCCTGGGCAGCCTGTTCCACTGCTCTGTCACCCTAACAGTAAAGAAGTTGCTCCTCACCTGGAGACGGAACTTCTTGTGCTTCAGTTTGTGGCCATTACCCCTCGTCCTATCGCTGGCCACCAGTGAGAACAGCCTGTCCCCTTCCTCCCTGCATTCTCCCTTCCTGAACTTATACATATTAATCATATCCCCTCTGAGCCGTCTCTTCTCCAGAGAAAACAGGCCCAGCTCGCTCAGCCTCTCTTCATACAAGAGATGTTCCATTCCCTTAATCATCCTGGTTGCCCTTCTCTGGACCCTCTCCAGAAGCTCCACGTCCTTCCTATACTGGGGTGCCCAGAACTGAACACAGTACTCCAGGTGCGGCCTCACCAGAGCTGAGGAGAGGGGCAGAATCACCTCCCTTGACCTGCTGGCAACACTCCTCCTGATGCAGGCCAGGATGCCATTGGCCTTCTTGGCCACGAGGGCACACTGCTCACTCATGGTTAACTTAGTGTCAACCAGGACTCCCAGGTCCCTCTTCGTGGAGGTGCTTTCCAGCAGGTCAAGCCCTAGTCTGTACTGATGCCTGGGGTTATTCCTCCCCAGGTGCAGGACCCTGCACTTGTCCTTATTGAACCTCATGAGGTTCCTCTCTGCCCAACTCTCCAGCCTGTCCAGGTCCCTCTGGATGAACCATCTTACTTGGTGAGCTCGTGATCTGAAAGTAGCTGCTTTAGATGCCTAGAGAGCAACTTCTTCTCCATAGACAGCCGAACCCAGGCTCTAGCTTTGCCAACATCTGTTTTGATCTCACTGATGTTCTGTATGTGCCTGAAAGGAGAAAACAAAACACCATAAAGTTGTTACTCAGTGTTTAAAAAAAAATTCTTTTTCAGCACACTAGGCTGTAGAATGACATTTGTCAAACATAAAAAATAAGGCAAACTACTGTAAAAAGATACAGGAGTCAGAGTCACCTAAGTAATTGTCAGTATCCAAATTCCTTGCATAACTAGTTGAAAAAGAACAAGAGACTGAAAAGGAAACATCTGCAATGCAGTGTCCTATTTACAAAATTCTAAACCAGTCCCAATGGCTACATGATTTAAGAATCATTCTGGACCTTATCATTTCAATATTTATGGCTGAGCGCTTTGGCAAATTAAATTCTGTCTTTGCACATTCAGTAGCAGCTTTTCTAACAAAAGAGTCATAATGGTGCATTTGAAAAGAACAAGCATGCCCCTTCAAAATCCTCAATCGACTCCTTCCTACCCCTCAAAAAATCAGATGCTAGCAAGAAAAACTTTCAAAATAAACTAAGAAGTGGTGGGTTACTATTTTTCATATACTGAAAAAAGCACACTAACACAAGTTAGTTGCATATATTTTTCCATGCTATAATATTCAGTGTTAGGCAAACTCATTCTTTAAAATAATAAGCTCTTTAAACAGCCTTCCTCACCAAGACGCAGGAATGAGCTCAAAGCTACGCAACCAGTTTAGCGATGACTAGGGAAACATAAGCTACACCCACATCTCCCAAAATAAGGCCATGCAGAATACTTACAAAAAGATGAAAAATGTGTCAGGCTACTTCTGTCAGCTTAAACTGTGACAATTTAAAATCTACTCATGATATAATAGTTTCCAAAAAGGTCAGTGAAAGAATTTGCACTACCTACGTTAAGATGTTTTCCCACTCCTCACATGAAAGACATAGCTTTTCTGTATGGTACCCACATTTTGCATAGAAAGAAACATGCAAATCTCATAGGTTTGCGTTTTTAATAGTTCAAACAAACCTCATATCCTGGACGAGAGAGATTCTAAGAGGTGACATGGCTGTGCTGGCATCCGACTTTCTCCTTTCTGACTCAAGAAGTATTCCTAAATTTAGAAAAAGTTGCTTGTTAACAGGAATCCATCTAAAGACAAATCTAAAGATAAATCTAAAGTCAATAATTAAAAAAAGAAAAAGAGAAGATCAATTATTAAATTGCATGTAGAAAGAGGATTTATTATAAAAGGATTTCTCAGATTCATGCAAGCTGCAGTCCACACTGCACTTTACTATAAGTGGCTCACAGCTTTAGAGTACAGTAGATACTGTGGCATAGTTCCATTTCAAACACATAACCCAATATGCTGCCACACCGGCAGTGATGCAGATCAAAACATGCTAAGCATTAACACATTAATGAGATTTGTTTCGGCTGGAATTGGTACGACATCAAATGGCTTAGGATGTATACCAAACAGCTATCATTTTCTAAAAATGATCTTATTCTACCCCTGTGAAAAACTGTCTGGCACTGATAGAATACTGTGTTCAAAAAGGTATCTGACTTAGTACATTGCCCATCAGATCCATCACTCTTCACACTTCCACAACACCATTATTATGTAAATGAACACATTTTGTATTTACCCATTTAGAAATTATAACAGAGAGGAGATGAAAATTTTCAGTTCAATACCTGATATGAGACATTAATGTGATCTTGAACAATTCTGTATTATTTCCTGCCATAGTAAGCCTGCTGGCACAGCTGGCTTTTCAGACAGAGTAACTCACTTCAGAGCACGCAGGACAACTTTGTATGCCGAGGTGTATTCCCCTAGCCAGGGGCCTCTGGCAGTGACATGGGACCTTTGTCAGAGCTGACCCTCCTGAGACTCGTAGCCAGCCATGCAGTAACTACAGGTTACAGGGAGGGTGACCTATGACAGCAGATCCATTTTAAAGCTGATGCTTCAAACCTAAGCCTTAACCACTGCAGTAGTCTGATAACAATGGGATTGAACCCACTTGTTTACAAACCATCTCATGACATTACAACAGATCCACATTAACAGATTCATATTCTGAAAGGAATACTTTATCCAGTTACATTAAGGAAGGGTATTTCCAGGAAAACAGTTTCACATAGTGCAAATTTGCAGAGATCTTGCTTGTAATTTTAAACGAACTTCTAGCAGAGGCCAATCTTACCTGAGGAACTGAAGCTGCCCGATGTAACTTTTTTCTGCCTGTTTTCTAGGTAATGCAACAGATGAGACCACAAAGCCGATTTTCCCTAAAATTAAAAGTATATTAGCTGCTATTAAACACAAGATTCCAGCTGAAAAGAAATCTTTCAGCTACATTAAAAAGTATATAACTGAAAGCACCAGCCATAACAGAAGCTTGCTTTAATGTATGCTTTCCCCTATTAAAGTCATTGTTAAAAACAAAAAAGAGAAACTAAAGTTGCAGGTGCTCAGGAGCTGCAAAAGAGGATGAAATTGCAGAAAGAAAAGCAGTCAAAGCTCTTGGAGTCTAATGATTCCAGTAACAGAACTGTCGGCTGTGTTTCATTTCTCATAATTTGTAAGATGACAGAAAAAAAAGAACATTTAAAGCCTCGTGAAGCTGTACATGTGACTCTAGCTCTCAGTCCAATACTGTAACCCGGACTCCCTGTTTCTTCCTCCCTGTATCTCCAGCAACAAACTGCCAAAGACACAGAAGCAGTCTGAGCGAGCCACCTTAGACCAAGGCTCGCACACCTCTTCCCTTCTCGGTGATTCAGGGCTATAGATGCATGTTATCAACTCTCAAAAACCTCAAAAAAATCTCCCTCAAGTTCCTCAAGCAATTACAAACATAACAAGAAAACCCAAGACATAGACAGGACAAGGAAAGTTTATCAGTAACAATATTCTAGCCTACCAAGACAACTTACAAGGTAAAATTTGGAGTTCATTATTTAGGACTTGATAAGTCTGTAAAGGTTAAAGTCTCACTCACTATGTTGCTTTCTTAAACATCTGGTGCTTAAGTAGAAAATGAGGAAATTGTTCTCTGGTTTGTTAAAAAGATTGTTGAATTCACCGTAAAGCCACGGAAGGTATCAGTACTTGCACAGAGGCTCTCCAGCACATTAACTGCTATTATTTACTCATGAAATTCATCAGTATTAATTATCATTTTATAATTTATTAATCAGCTATTTTATTAATTGGAAATCCCAATAAAAGCTTAAGAATTCTGCATTTTAGAAGAGCAGTCATATAAGAAAGCCACATTTTCATTTACAACTTTATGTAAAAAGAAACCATGACTGTAAAGCAAGAACTGTCAATTCAATACTCTCAATGTCATTTAAAAACATCAACATGTTGCTTCCTGGAAGTGCAATAACTACAGTTCCACTCTGAAAGTTAAAAACACACAAACTACCATCACACGTAAAAATAAAAATCTAAAAGTTCAACTCTGAGGTCCACAGAAGTTAATATGAAGAACTAACGGCTAAAGGGCCATTGGGTCAAGACATTAGACCTACTGAAATGAAGTGGCTTTTCTCCAGAATATAAACCAAAAGCATGTTACATTTGTGTTGCAAGAATTTTATCAAAAATATGCATTTAGTGACAAAGCTAAAAATTAATATATATATACACAACCACAGAAAAGCTCTATGTCTTATGTATATACTTTACAGATCTAACATAGAAAGCCAAAACACAAGTCTTAATTTGAAACAAATAAATAAAAGGCATGAAAATATCCGCCAGGATTGCTAACAACCAAAATGCCAGTTCTGGGACGACGCACACATACACACACAGCCTGGCGTTCAGCGGCTTGCGGCTGTGGCAAGAACTGCAACAGATCACATAAAAGAGCAAACAGAAAATCCTGCAGCAAACAGATGTCAGCAATCATGATGAAGGCAAGAACTCATGCAGCATTTATCTGTCCATTTCCTTTAACATAATGTTCCTCTCCTTTAAATTCACCATACAGCAATGATGATGCCAACTGTACCTAAGGGGGAAAGGAAGGCAGACCAAGGAAAGCAGTGGGACAGAACAGGCAAGGGAACAACCAAGACTCTCTGGAAGTCAACTACTTTGGCCATCAGACCCTACTTTCTACAACTGCACTGCTACGGTCTGGGCAAAGGAAGGGTGTCAACTCACACAGCTAGTGGAGGAGCAACAGGGTTCATCAGCAGGGAAGAGCTAAAAGCATGGATTGATGGAAGGGAAGCCATCTTCATTACTATGGTCAATTGAAAAAGAAGAGTCTTCCTTGGCTCATTATTGAAAAATAAATATCAATGTATAAGACAGCAGGCTTTTGCATATTTAATAAAGGCAAAGTACAGAGAGAATTAGTAGTGCATTTTTTTCTGTGGATCATAATATTAGATGCACTGCACTTCCTCCATCGGGCCTCTCTTTATCCTACCACAACAGGCCATTCAGCACTGCTTGCCAACATCTGCAATCAATCCAAAGCATTAACCTTATGTAGGGTTGACCGTCTGCTGGTCTGAAAGGCCCAAATCTGAGTTGAAGCAGAGTATACTGATGCTCTGTCTTCTAAGATGAAAGCAGTACAGCTTCTATCCTAAGTGATATACAAGAGGGAAGGGAGAGAGTCAGACGATAAAACTTTGCATAGAGAAACTACTGCTATACAATTTGAAGGACAGTAGATTTAAAATACGACGGCAGCTTGGGTGCTGGAGACACAGATATTGAACTACATCTACCTATGTTATGTACGTTTACTTCTTGCTATTCCTTTGTAGAAATAAGCAGGAAAGGATAAAAGCCTCCCACACTCCATCTAATCCCACAAGCAACTCCAAACAAAAGAGCAAAATAAACAGTCATTCCTTTCACATGAAAGGCAATACCTCTACCTAGTGACCTTGCAAATGTCACACAGCTACCCCTACATCATCCAGGAAGAACTAAAACAGCAAAAGTTTTACTTTCAGAAATGAAGTTATCTTTCATGAGAATACATACCCCACATCATAATCCATCAGTTGCACCTTTACTGTACGCTACCTTACAGCCTATGCACCTACAATTGCAAAAGTATTGAGAGTACAGAAATAGGCTTATCTTATTAAAAACAAAAAGAGTAGCAGCAGCAACTGTTAAATGGAAACCAAATATTTCAAGTAGTTACCTGTTAGACACATCTACATGTAAATGTGCATATACCCCTGCGCAAAAGGCAGAGACAGACAAGGAGACTGACATACAAAAGGCTGGGGGACATACAGGTATTTAACACACACCCATATGCACACTCACTGTAACTTCCGAAAGCAGAGGCAGGGAGGATCTAACCTGACTTTCTAAAAAAAGGCACGTTATGCAACACAAAGGAGTATTTGCTCCTTACCTGTTTGACCTGCAGACCATGGCTCCATATCCTTTCCAAGAGATCACACAGACTGGCTATCAGGGTATTCTCTTCCACACCTGTGATATTCACCTCACCATGACCTAGTTCCACTGCTTCTCGACCCATTTTTTCAACCAGCATCCTCTTGGTCTCAAAAAGGACAGGACAAAGGAGTGTTATTTTTTATGCAGGAATGTTCAAGACCAAGACCATTTACACTTTTTAAACAGCAAACAAGAAAGCACACAATAGTAAATACCTGGCAGAACAACTGTGCGTATGTACACAGTAGATAGAGGTGCTGGCAAACAGGCACATGAGCCTGGAGAGACAGTAATTCAAAAAACAAGGACTAGTAGGTGGCCCTTTGATAAATCAGAGACCTAAGCAGCAGGGCCTGGCATCAAAGGCCTTGGGTGCCCTCCCATAAGCCAAGCTACAGGCACAGAATTCATACACTCTTTTGTGTTAGTCAAAAAATCTCTCAACAACCCTCACCAATCTCCCAGTCACAATATGCTCATCATACAGCTACCTGAAGGGAAAAATGATGAAAAAAGCACTTTCCATTTCTCACTACCCACAACCCTTCTTGATCTTTGATGCTATCTACAGCAAGTCTAAGAGGATTAACATTCCCTTAGGCACTTATGCACAGACTTAGCTGGGACACTATTAGTATTTTAATGTTGATACTCAAAGTCGCTTCTTTCTGCCCTTCTCCTCCCCAGTACTTTCATCTCTTTGTTAATGCAAAGCTCACTGTAGGCATTAGAATTACATTCCTACAGCGAAAGGGGAAAGTTTATCTCCACAGTTTTCACTGACATTAACTGAAGGACATTATTTGGATAACTCCATACATACAAAACTAAAGTGAAATCTAGAAATGAATATAAATACGAAGATTTACAAAAGTTTTATACAATCACTACTTTCCCCACTGACTTCCGACAAGAAAATTAAAATGTGCCTATTTATTGAAGATTACTCTTTTCACTACACCAGTATAGTGAACAGTGACACTTAACGCGGACAAATACATGCTCCAATATATGGTCAAATATGCTTGTATCCCTGATAAAAGTTTGTGAGGACCAGGAATTTTTAAGTAAGCATTGCTTCACTAGTTTGTTACTACCACACAAATAAATAGGATGTATGCATAAAGCAGAAATAAAAGCAGACAATGTTCAACTATATTAGCCACAAAATAGCTCAGCAAGGCTAGATATGAGGTAGTTTTCTGCATATTACCTTATTTCGGCATTCCTTCAATAAGCCTTCTACAAACTTGCAATTTGTTTGCGCGATTACTGAAGGAGAGAGGTTAGACAGTTTGGGCTGCCGAATGGTACTGCCCAGATTCCTGGCTTCTTGGATATATTTCTGTATGGGAGGAGAAAAATTACAAATACAGATAAAAGCAAGTGAAAATCTTTGCACATAGCTGAATTACAAACAACACCTTCCCGCTTGTCCCTTATGGCTCATGAAAAACAAATCACCTGGCCTTCCAAAAGAGCTTCCCCCATTTTTTTTTTTTTTAATTTTAAATCCAAAACAGTATTGGGCCAAGATATTTTCACTGGAGTTCAAATCGTTTTACACTGTTTAATTAGCATTAAAACACAGGTTGCTAAACATCACTGACACAACAGAAACTGTCAAGGATATTTAGATGCATAGAGATTTAATTACTCCCTTCGTTGCTGAGAACATTCTTGCTATTTTTTCATATAAAATGAAAGCTTGCAATAATTACCTAAACCAAAACTACTGAAAGAGCTGACTCTGGTCTGCATGCGGACCACAAAAAAACCTTTGCCTAGACCTTGACAAAATCCAAGCCTTGTGCTATGTCCTGCATTTCTGAAAATCTGCCATTTCTTATCATTTTCACAGGCTCTCAGGAAGCAGCTGCAAAATGCTACCATAGCAGCTCTTAGCTGCAGACCATCTGCATTTTAGAGCAGGCGATTTTGGAGAGCTGTTCTGCTCCTGCTACTTTCATCAAAAACTTGCCACGATTTTCATCTCAGAGACAGGAATTTAAAAAATGTTTTTAAAACCCCAAGTCCCAATAAATTGGCTAAGGCAGTTAGCCGTGAATAAGAAATAAAGGAAAAGGCCTGTTCAGGCTCAAAAGAAAAAAACCAAACACAACAGCAACAAAAAAACACCACACACCACAAACACATACAAAACGAAAAAAAAACCCACTCAGTACATACTCCAGATTAGTAGGTTACTTCCCTAGCCATTATCAAAATAATCAACTGAGAAACTTGTGAACAGGACTACATTTATCAATTCAATCAAGAATAGGATCTTTGCAAAGAGAGGGAAAATCATACTTTCTCCATCAGTTTGGCACTAAATAGCTATTGTGCTATCTATATTTATGCTATGCATCTTTATCCAGAACTATTATTATATTATTATTGTGCATTTGACATACCAGGTAATGCTCTGACATAGATTTTATAGAGGGCCTGAAAGGCCAATCATGCTGATCCCAGGCTAAATATAATTGCAACTGAAGCTCTGACATGGAAAAGTCCAGGTGCTGGCAGGACAAGTTGGTAGCAAAAAGCCAGACAGATCAGGTTAAGTGAAAGTGGTAAGCACATATGAAGAAATAAAAGCAGGCATGCAAAACAGAAAAGGAAAAGAGTGAAGACATGATACAGTGCAAGACTCCCAAGCATTCAACATAAACATTTGTTAACTAATGGAGCTGAAAAATAAAAACAAAAACAATAAAAACACACATATATAAAACAAAAAAAAAACACATCCAAAGATGGCAGGAACTCTGCCCTTCAGTGGGTAGACAAAATTTGCAATTTAACAGCTATCAAGCCTTAATGTTACAGACTTTTGTCGACTATCCCAAAAGGGCAAATAGTCGAAAACTTGCAACACTGCATTTTGTGACCACTGCCTTCTGCTCAAATTGATTTCCCCCTGTTTATGGGCCCAGCAGAGGGGCTCCTTCCCAATTCTTTCAGGCCTAATCGGAAAGTTTCTGGTCCATCTAGAAAGAAGGGACAATTACACAAACAACATTACGCAAAACCCAAAGGCTATAGAAGAAAACTCCAAATGCCAGCAGAATTTACTTAACAGTTGATACCTGTGCATATAGTTGCAATTTTTATTCTTAAGAAATTATTTGCCTGGTGTGACACAATAGCTCATTTAGTGGACAGTCAGTTAAAAACAGACTAGAAAAAAAACTGCATTTGCAATTATTTAACTGAAATCCTACAGTTTATGGATACCAAGCGTCCAAATTGTTGGAAGTGGCAATTAGGTTATGAATGAACTGCTGCTTATTTCTGCATCAAAAGTACTTTTGAGTTATCCAAGCATAAGCAGCATGTCAAATCCAGAAACATTTTGAGTATCTTTAATCAGGCAGACTTTGTTCAAATACGTGTTTAAGTGACATAGATGACCCTTCAGTGCAATTTGCACAAACCAGGAAGAAAATCCTGGAAAAAGTACACTGAAGCACACTAACTCATCATTACCAAAAAGAATGAATTATAAAAATCAAAGATATTTCATTTTGAAAATATTATCTTATTTAGAAAAAGGCTAAAAGATGTTAAGATTAAGCTTTTCCTCTCTTCTTTTTAACACTTCAGGTTTTTTTTATTTATTTATTTTTTAAACGTTCTTGGGATGAGACTTTTTTGCTGAGCTCATGTAAAATTGGCAGAACTTCTAGAATTAGGGAGCTAAGTTATTCTGGTCAAAGGAGGACTTGTATCAAGTTCAAATAACATCAGGGCAAAGGTTAAGAGCCTTAAGTGCCTGGGTTTCCCATAAAGGTTAGAGAACATGATTTATGCAATACAAATAAGTCTGCTGCAGTTGAACAGTTGTCACCTCTCTCTGGTCATTGTCAAGACGCAGATGCTCTGTATGTTGCTTCTGTCTGTCCTTCCGCCTCCACTGTGCAGGAGCGTTTCTCTTCGTCCACCTACGAAAAGGTCATTTAGCAGGTAACAAGAGTTAGGTGAAAAGCAAGGGCAATGGAGGAGAACACAAAGTTTCTATCTTATTTTTTATTGAACTTGCCAATATCAGGCATACCAGACAGCACTGCTGCAAACATACGGACACATGCGCAAAATACCTTGGTAGAGGCAGCTAATCTTAGGCACCAAAGAATCCCACAGAAAATAAGGACACAACCATGTGCTTTGTACTCTTCTCTCATTTTACAATATCATGCTACAATTTTCAAATTTCTCCTCTTTTTTCAAAGGTGTTTATTTCATAAGATGCCCCTAAAACATTTGCCAACTCTTAAATGAGGTTCAGTAGGATGTGCTTTCACATCAACTGTCCTTAAAAGTAACCTCAAATAGAAACTTCATCCACAGTGTGGCTTTCTTAAGCAAATTTGCTTCTACAAGTAGAGATATTAAATCCATCTTATGTTTTCTCAGTTAAATAAAAAGCAGATTTGTTTTCTAGTATCTCAGTTTTGTCACTATTTTATAGATCTCACCAAGATCCAACACCAGACCTCCCAGCTTACTCACTTGTTGCTTGCTGGTCCAGTGGAAAGGACATCAGATTGAAGCTTGGGAAAAAATCCAAGTTCATATTTTCCTTGTCCAATTTTCATGTCCAGCAAGTGGGGGTGGACTGCAGTGTGATCTATTTTTGCTAGCCTCAATTCAATAGCTTTCTCTGAAATAAGACAATTAAATTCCCTGAAGGTATTTCTTAAAAAGAGAAGTCAACTACAGTCAAACACATTCAACTAAAAGTAGATTTCAAATTTACGAAAGAAGGAATCCTCTTATTGACCCTAAGAGGGACACTTTTACCAGAACGTGTTATACAAAAAGCACTGCCACCAAAAGGAAAAAAAACATTCACCTTCTTAAATTCAAACCGTATTTTCCACATTGGGGATACAGAAAAAATAGAGTTCAGTTATACTTTACATTAATTTCATCTCAGATTCCTATACAAGACTTCCCCCATTATGAGATTTAGTTCCCCCCTTAAGCATTACACCTCATCTTCTTCAATACATTTTTGACGTGTTAAAGAATTAGTTAACCTAATGCACATAACAAACAGAACTAACAAATACAGGTTCATTTTTCTTACGTGTCAAAGGAAATGACTTATTATCCTTACCAGCCTCATCAATGGTTGTGCATTTCTGATACATAGACGTGCGTAGAGTTGGTGTCCTAACATTTAGCAGCCTAATTTTATCCACTCTGGAATCAAATACTCTCAGAACTGGGTCTTTTTCATCTTCATCATGACACATAATCTTGTTGTCAATAAAAGATGCAAACATTTGGGTCTCCAGGAATCTTGAGAGGAAAGGTAAGTAAGGTTCAGGCTGGTCGGACAAGAAAGATGCCTAGCAGAAAAAAGATAAAAGTAAGTTTGGAAATCTGCAGAGATATGACCAAAACTCAATATTTTCTCTAGTCAAGCATATATCGAAGTGCTTTAGAGCCATTCAAAGCCTAGTTTCAATGCACACACTAATTCCATCTCTGAAACAGACAGCCTTTGAGCACCCCTTAGTTTGAGTTACTACAGCACAGTAACTCTGATGTTGCAATACGAGCATTCTCTTGATTTTAACCATTTTCTCCAAATTCTGGCAATCAGTGAAAATATTGCAGATGTGGATACTTGTGGTTGGGTTTATAACTTAAGTTTGCTATAATCTTTTACACACTTTCAAGGCAAAGTGTATAAATTGGGGCTTTTTTTAGCATGCTGTGCTGCAACAGTCCACAGCCACATGAACTATTCTTCTGTTGTTTTATCTCCAGCAATTCAGTATTACTCCAGTAAAATAGATATAAATAAAATCTGAAGAAATGCATCTTGTGTTTCTCTAAGGGATAAAAATGTTTGCTACACATACACAGAAATATATGGTGGGATCACAGCTTTAGTTTCTAAGTTGACCTAGGTCATCTTGTTTCAACTTACTTTATCAAAGTTTTGCATCTGCTCCCTGTTGGTAAACCAAGATTCCTTGTCCTGGCTGGGCTGAATGACAAATACTTCATAATCTGCAAACATCTGTGTGAAGCGGTTGGCAAAAACTTCACGAATCTGAATATTCAGCTGGTAAATCTTGAACTCTTCTTCATCACACTGAATTTTAAGATCCTTTTTGCTACTGGTCTCTTCTCGCACCTCCAGCTAAATGAGCAAGGAAATAAAAACTGCATTGTTGCACAGTTGGGTTGGGTATGCAAGATCTAATCTGCCATTAAGCTGCTACTTCTCAAATCAATATTTTGACACTCACCCGCCCCTCCAGCATATTTTACCATTTCAAGCACTGCAATAAAAATAGCAATATCAAAGAAACTAGAAAAAAACTTTGCATAAAGTTTGCAGTAAGACATATCCTACTTTAGTATTGGTTGCACTGGATACTTTTAACAACAAAAACCCATAACCATACAAATACTCACACATATCATAACACACAATTTACTTTATTTTACCCTTTAGTCATCTGCAGAAGGATCTCTGTTTTCTACCATCTCTAGGTATTAGGTAGTGATGTGTTGCTTTGTAACAAAAATCCAGATTTAATATTAACATTTCACACATACCAGCTCCCAAATTAAAGGATGCACACTCAAAAGTAGTTACATGTGCGGTAGCCAGTTTCCTGAAATCCAAGTCCACAGCAGCATAATACACAACTTGTCACTACATAGTTCAGTAATCTCTAATGAGAGAAAAAGCATCTTCAGATCTCTAGGCCAAGATTTAAAACAAAAACACAAACAAAAAAACTCAACAGAAATACAAGATTCAGATATTCAATTATCACCAATTTTGACTAGAACTGGGTGTCTAGAAAGAGGGATAACGAAAGCCACAAGCCCACACAGATGCTACAGAAAGCTAAATTTAAACTTCATGATTAACTGAATAGCAAGTTTGGCCACGTAAACTTTAGGGAAAGGACATAATGGTAGAATAAATTACCTTAAAAGCAAGAATAAGGAGGGTAAGGTATATTCTTAAACACATTATCTCAGGAAAGAAACACTTGGCAAACAGCCAGACGTTTCCCTAGGCCCTATGATGCAAGAAAAACAAAACAAAATCACACATGCACAAAAGCCCAACACACACACACACACACACACACACACACACTCAGCTTGCCTTGGCCTCTACAAATGTTGCCTAGGTTTGCAAAAGTTAAACAAAGCCGTTCTGCAGTGAAGAGAAACCCACCTTTGGATAACGACCTCAGACAACCTGCGATTGCAGTTCCAGAGAGGGTGAGCAGAATTTCTTAGCTTGTGAGCAGAAGTTCTTAGCTTACCTTCTCTAGGCTCACACCTGTTCTTTTCACAAGGGCCTGCAGTCTTGCGATGGTCTCATTTTCCTTGAGCAGCTCACAGGAATTCAAAGGTGATCCCGCTATGTTCCCATTTCTTTTATCAGAAACTATATCACATGCTCTAAGGCTCTTCATCTTGGAGGCACTCTCACTGCAGTGAAGGTTTCCCTCAGGTGGGATTCCAAAAGCCATCAATATCTCCGATATTTCCTGAACGAACTCAAGCTTATTTGGAAACTGGGGCAGGTCTTCTGGCAACTCGATGAAATGGTTGTCTACATCCACAAAGCATAAATTTGCCTGGAATAAAATTTAGAATGAGATACCATTAGAACTAAGCACAAATATCATGCTTTTTTCTGTGTCTGGGCTTTTTTTCTTCTCCCCCTTTTTTTCTCTGCATTGCAAAAATCTCTACCAAATGCTTTCATGACATTACATACACCACAGCAAGAATCCCATTATCTCATGAATTAGGTTTGGAAAATTATGTTTCTTTCTTCTGCACACTTAGTTTTCTGTAGAAACAGCAAAGTTTTTCTTCACTAAAGAATTAAGGTAACTGTCACACTGCTGTTTAGTTGGACCCTTTCTAAAACTTCTTCATTTACGTTAGGCAGTATGTCCAATGGAGCCACCAGGTTATTCCAGAGGGCACAGCTCTGCAGCAACAACACAAACCAAGGCACAAGAGCTAACAGATATTTTTATGGTTTCCCAGTAAGTCCTGAAAGATGGAAGTGCTCTCAATATTCAGTAAGGAATCTGAACAGGTTTCCTCACGCTGCAGGAACAATGGCCAAGCCTGGAAATCTGAGTGAAATACACAAGCAATAGAGGACAAATAGGTTTGGCAGGATTTTTATCATGAGACTCATCACAGGCAGAGTAGGATAAGCTGCACCTGGTGAGATCCCTTCATTTAAGTAAACTGCTGCAAAAACACATCTGCCTCCAAATACTTGTGAAACTCGGCCTTCTCAGCATTTCCATAGGATTAGGATGTCAGTTCTCCTTAAACATATATCTATCGTGCTCCATCGCTTGAACTTCAACGTTAAAATAAAGAGACGCAGCACCAACAGGGCAAGCGTTGCACGCGCCCAGCAAGGCGGCTCAAGCAGCGTGCGAGGGCTGCGGCCGCCCATCCGAAGCGGCGCTGAGCACACCAGGCAGCCCCGAGAGCCCAGGAAGCTCTGGTGTTCGGGGCAAACACACAGATGGATGTTGGACCTTCCAGCAAGACCCTGCTCTAGGCATGAGCTACCCACCAAAGAACTGAGCCAGCAAACATTATCCCAGGCACCAAGGCAATAAAGCCTTGAAGCCAGGCACCACGCCTGCCAACACATGCTAAGGGGAAAACAAAAGCCCTCTAACCGGCCACAAGCTCTCTGAGAAACAGCAGGACAGACACACAAAGAAACTCTTCCAGGAAGTGAGGAAGTGAACTGGGGGATTTTTTTTTAGGTCATTCAACTTTTCTCTAGAACTCTCAAATACTTTTTCATTTGGTGCTCTGGTATTGCTTTTCTCACTAAGAGAAAACCTCCAAACGCTGTGCCACAAAATCAATTGCAGAGTGTTAATAGAGGCACGAAGCATTTCACACAATAGAACAATCATCCTGGGACAGGGTTATAATCCCAAATAAGGGTGTTTAAAGGTCTAAGTTTTTCAGACTTTAGAAGCACGGATGCAAGGTAATTACTGTTCCTTCATAAGTCTGATCGTCTGAAGTGAACAGCAAAACTTCCAGCTCAATGGTTCAATGGGCTCCAGAGTACACCCATCACCTTCAAAGCCAGAAAAGCAACTATATTTCTTTAGTTTGACCTGCAGTATAACAAGGACCAACCCCTTCTCCCCCCACGTACATTCAGCAATGCTTGAATGTGGCCCATATCCTTCCTTTCAGCTCCATTTAAAACACCTCAGGAAATGATCTGGGTTCTACCCAAAGGATATCTAGGTAGAAACAGCTTATTCACTGAACAATGAGTAAGCTTCCCACCCCACGGACATCCTCCAGAGAAAACACTTGCTAATTTAAGCGTTAGTCCCTAGTTACAGTGCACACAGACAGCGCAGAGCTCTCTGCTCCCACACCACGAGTGCCACCGGCCGAGCTCCGTCAGCCCAGGGGCTCTGGCTGCAGCTGCCTACAGGATTCCAGTTCCCCTCCTAGGCCATCACACTGAAACATGATTCTGACTACTTTGTTTCCAAACACTAAAAGACTCAAAGCCATTCAAGTACAACATTCCTACAATACTTACCACTTCTGTGCTTTACGTCCAGTCTTGCAAATACCATGCACTTCATTTAATGTATGTAAGTTCTGTACCTATGGATGCATATGTGGTTTTTATTTTTAGTTTAAGCACATTCAACATCACAAGGCTTACGAAAGAAGTGTTTACAGTGGTCCTAAATTCTATGGAAAGCTCTTCCATTGCCATTCCTGCAAGCACATGGTGACCTTCTGCATTTGTTAGCACTGCTGCTCTCAAGCCAAACCAGGATTTGCAACAGCTACAGCTAAGAGCTGTTTTCCATCAGAAACATGACTATCCAAGCTGTTGTTTAACATTGAAGTGCAGGAAAACTTAAAACTGAAGTCAATAAATCTGCTGTATTATCAAGGCTTGTTACACAAGTGGATAGTGTGAACACACAAAAACAATCGTTATAATTAGCATCCTGATCAGGCTGATCTGGATGTGTTGACATCTAGAGGAAAAAAAGACTTTTCAAAAGATTGTGTTTTTTAGAAGTTAACATTTATTATGCATTAGAATGGACTGACATCTTTTAAATGGTTAAGAATACTGGAAATCCATACCTTTATTGTATTAGCAGATAAATGAATTTTATCTAAGTGAAAAAAAAAAAGGTTTACCCTTTCTTAAGGAAAATGCAATATCCTTGAAATCAATTAAAAACAAATTTTTAAACAAGATACTATTTTTAAAAGGGCTGGAAGACTCAATTTCACTCAAATTAAGAATATTTTTCACCATTCTCTTGAATAGCAAGAGTAGTAAGGAGCAAGATGCACACACAAGTCCAGTAGCATGACATGGCCCAGATTAACTTGACTACTTGGGTTACATTGCAATGCTACTGCAAAAGTTTCTTACAAGGAAATTCAAAGAAACATCAAAAAAGTGTCACCTTAGTATTTGCTGTGTTTGCGATGTGCAAGAGAGCTAGTTTAACCACTTTTTGATCAATCTGACTGATAAACAAGCCACACCTCTGCCAGCAACATCTGAAACAGCTGCGCACTCTTCCCTTTCCCTTCCATTTCTGCAGAATCTCATTCTAGTGTCACTTCTTCTTACCCCCTTTCTGCTCCAAGCTCCTCAGTGGCCTCGGATGTTGCTATTAGTGAAACCACAATGACAGCCACAGATACAGCAAGACCCTCAGCAAAAGACAAGTGCATAAGAGTCCAACTTTAACCTGAGGTGTGCTGTATCACTGATATGTACAAGAAGCTCAGGCCTACAGTAATTCTCAAGTTTCTTTTCCAAATTTACTGGGCCATAAGCAAGCCCTTGGTGAATGTCAATGAATTTGCCATCAGGCACTCTTTCTCGAGGCACTCAAGGGTTAGCAATGTTAATGCAAAATTCAAGTTTAGACTAATTTGCTGAAGACTTGAATCTACATCTGCAAAAATGTAAAGTTTACGGATATAGCTGGGATTCCTATGGGGTGGGGAGGAAGGATGTGAGAAAAAAATCATAATTCCCATAGTAAAGCATTCCTTCAAGCTCTGGCTTGGTGTGTTAGATGGACATATGTTCTTCCACAATGTCTTTCAACTGAGAACTGATAACGGTATTTTCTGTTCCCGCTCACTTTGTTGCTGCTTGTCCAAATTAAGATACTACTTTGGTCTCAAATGTCCCATTTATCCATGTAAGTGTAATAGCAACAGAAAGATACAGTTTATGTAACTTCAAGACAAAGACTCTTTTTTTTCCCCCCTCTAAAACTGAATAAATTTGAAAGAGCAGCTCTTTATATATGCTTTGCAATAAGGGAGAAAAATCCTGATACTTACAATATCCAGCACCTAGATGCAGAACTTGGATATTAGCTCTTCAGATAAGCTGGAAAGTTTCATACAGTTTCAAATACAAAATAATATACCAAATTTTATTTAATTAGATTATTATCAGTATCAAAAGGAATATATAAGTACAAATAAGAGAATCCACATATTTTACTGCTGCATGGTGGCACATTTTATGTACTGTCCTTGTCAGTTTCCACATCAGGAATTAAGTAAAGAGTTTCTTTGACTTTGTAAGGTTGTCTGAGGGTCTAATGATAGCAAAGGTAGATTTGAAATAGTCAAGAATCCATCCCTTCAACTTTCACTTCAAACTATTTTTAGATGTTAAAACACAACTACCTCTGTTTAAACTTCCAAGGCAAGCCAATAAAGCTCTTCCAAACATCTACCTTATATATAGTTGAGACATCTGTTTCAGATTTGAAAGTGTTCATTGGAAGCATTATAGTCATTTTAATATGAGAAATCTTTCTTTTCAGAAAGAGTACAATCTTTAAAAATACTTTATAACAACATGTATGGCACATTAACATAATGCATACTCCACCATCTGCCCTCTATATAAAACTAAAAAACAAACACCAACAACTTGTTAGCCTTGTCATAACACCCCAAATTTCATAACATGTAGTCAACCAAAGCAACAGACTGTTTCAGGGCAACAGTATACATTAATTTGCTATTAATGATGCCAATGCATAAAGAAAGAGGGTAAAAATAAAAAAAATACACATATTAAGAAAAGAACACAAGGGACTAATAAAGGCTTTAGCAGAACAACAACGAGGACAACTTGAAGAGAATTTTTCCTTTGAAACTGCCAGGAAAAACAAATGAAAACTATCAGCTTATCAGTATGTGGCTTTAAGTAAAAAGAACCAGACTGGAAGGTCACAAAATCTTCTTTAGTTTCATAGAGCTTTTTAAAGAAGTTTTCTATGCCAAGCTAAGTCGCAGCACTGCTGGATACTGAAACAGTCTCCCCCGCCTCCTCCCCCCAACATATTTCTCCTTCTCTGGTAATACAAATGACACTAGAAGAAAGCAGGTGACCGAGACCCCAGCACTAACATGATGCTGTAACCTGCAGCACGTCCCCATTACTTACCCATTTGCCCCTCTGGGAAGCTACACCTACTGCCAACACATGTCACGCTGCCACAGGTACTGCTCTAACTCCTCTTGGTTCCCCAACCATCACAACCAGCTCTAACTCCCTCCTGCCAGGTCCCTGAAGGGAGTATTTTTGGTGTGAGAAGGGATAAAGCACCTCTACGTAGCCTTAACGTAGCCCCAGCCCCCGGTATGGGCTGCAGAGCCTTTAGGGACCAACCACTTGCTCAGTTCACACAGTATCTGGTGCTAGCAGGGCTGCACTCCAGGGAGGACCGCGTCTGCCCAAGCAGACGCGGGCGCTTTGCCGCTGAGCGAGGCCAGGAAGCTGCCAGGCTCAGCAGAGCCCCGAGGCCGGCGCGGCGCCGGCGCTCACCTCACACAGCAGCAGCCGTGTAGGGTTTTGACTCAGGCTGCTAAGTTCACACCACACTTCGCTGCACTTCCTAGCATGACTGGGCTAAATAAATTGTCACTCTGCGGTGACTCAAACAGTCTCTTTTGAAGCACAAAAATGTCGTCTCTGTAACCTGCAAGAATATCTAGAAAAATCATTTAAGTTTAACCTTATTATAGGATACAATTTCCAGAACAGGGCTTTATCAGTTTCATCAGATTTTCTCCAGCTTCTCCGACCAATAAAACTTTCTCAAATGACAGCCAACAAGAACTTTGCAGCAGTTGTTAGAGGTACCACTAATCCTTCAGCTCATTTCTCACTTTTCTCAAAGTCACATACACCACCAAGCTCCTCTCACCTCTTGAGGCAGCTCTAGCTTGGACCTGTCATCCAACCCATTGGAGTGCAATCCCATCAAGTAAGGGACAGGAGCATCTAGAAAATGAAGGAGGGAAGCTGGAAGGATAGGAACATACACATGCTGCCACTGAAATGGAAACATCAGCGCTGTGATGGTCTCTGCCACAGTCATCAGTCTCTGATAATCTGAAAAAGAGTAAGAAAAATATTTTTTTCACAAACATATTTAAGTGAATCTACGTTAAAGAAGTAAGAGAGGTTGCCTTAAAACAAAACCCACAAAACCCAGAGCTAGCTGAGCATCTTTAACGAAAGCCCAGACGTGTGCGCCCAAAGCACAGTCTGCTGAAGCAACAAACAGCTGAACACAAAGTAGGTCACTCCACAAGTCATATGGAAATGAGAAATTTAATTCTTGGCATCCATTAAGTCACTCTCTGCTACTTATACAAGGGTTATACAGGAACACCATTTGAGTATGGAAGCAGTATTGTACTGGGCTAAGAAATAAATCGGAAATACATTATATTCTCTTCTTCTGTCTATGCAAGCCTTGGACGAAACCCAAGGCATCTGGTATCTCTCAAACAAACATTTTTTACATCAGAGGTTAGTTCTATAGAGAACACTGCAGAGGAGGCAATGCAAGACTGAGACTAAAATAACCGTTGGGAAAAAATACAAAAAGAAAGGTTCAGCTTTACGCTTTGCAGCGTATAACTATGACTAAAGTCTCATTTTTCCCAAAAAGTTAAGATGTGAAAACAACTTCTTTGGAGCACTGTACAAATACACACTAAAAGGTTTACCTCCCCTCCCCGCCTCCCCCTTCCTTCTTTTCTTTTATTAATTCAGCAGCTGGTATCTAGAGCTGAGCCAAAACTTTTACCTCCTCTTTTATACTACAGAATGTCTAATGATTTCCAATAATATACATATATATGCACATCATCTAGGATGCAACACCATAAGCACACAGGAGTATGTAGACTAAATCAAACAATTACTAAATTATTCAAATGGTTTTCTTGCAGCCAGACTGGGAGGACTGTAAACGATGTTCACAAGACTAAATATTCCTACCTTGAGTTATGCCATAAAATACAGTTCAAGCTATAAATATAGGCTGCATTTCTCCTGATACTGCAGAAGTATTTAATTCTAATCAAAAATAGAAGGAAGAAAGGGAAAAGGAAAAAAAACACACAGGAAATATTACAGAGAAAATTTAAGCTTAATTATGCACTACTTCAGAGTTATGGCTTTAATTCTCTCCTTGCCATCCTCCACCCAAACTTCAGCTAGCAGCAAGGAAAGGCCAATAAATTAAGTTCCAAGCATTTCACGACATGTTTTGTTTGAAATGAAAAGCTGTAGTCTTTGGGATCTGCCCCAGCAAGAGCTCAGTACGGTTTTTGCTAGCTCGAGTCACAACTTTGTAATCTAGGTTTCTGAATTTTCCTTTCAGATCAGTCTGTGCCAGTGAAAAAATGTTGCTTCTCAGCATTATTTGTCACTGCCCCACAGCACAGCTACTGCTGCGGCAATCCTTCAACCAAAAGGAGCCCGGGCAGCTTAAACAATTTGAAGGCTTTGCTAGCAACTCTCTTGAACCGAAGTTGGAGAACAACCCCAAAACCATCACGAGAAACAAGCTGGAGACAACAACCGTCAGCGAGGGCGGGCCAGGGGGTGGCAACCACCTTTCAGCAGTGAAGTTGGTGGTGAAGGGCACAGCTACACCCCTCTTCTGCACGGACCCACAGATCTGCCTACAGTTACTCACTGGCTTGCAGCTTTAATCACTGCCTGACTGCAAGGAAGTGATGAATTAATTATCAGCTCTGGGAAGCAGCCGCTTATTCCACACTATTTTTCTCAGCTTTAAAAGTAGCCAGAGATGCACAAACATTTCAGCTGGTTCATATTCAGCTTGTTTATCTGAAAGAATAAGTCTCAGAATAGAAACAGTGATTTCTAGCTACACAAAAAAACCTGTCTAATCCTGCTGGCTAATTTAAATACAAATTCTCTCTCTCTCTCTCTCTCTATCATTATTCCAACTTTAATATTAGCCTTTCAAATTACAAAGCAACATCAATAATTCAGATTTCTCTCCACTTTGCAGCTACCTCCTGCAACTGAGTTATCTGAAAATGCAGCTCTTTGATCGTGGACAGTCACGTGGCTTGAGTTATTCCAAACTCTTTGGGCTGCACTGGGACAGCCTTCCAGAACCAAGAACTACATTCTGCAGCTTGAGGTAGCCTATGAGCTATTGGCAAAAGGACAAAAGCAAGAAGTCTTTAAGTATGAATCAAAATAACTGAAATTTTTCCAATACTGTAACTATCCAGACAGGGTGTGGGGTTTTGCCTTTTTATTTTTTCTCCTCCTCTAAAAAAATATAAAAAGTAATAATAATTAAAAAAAGCAGCAGCACACTAGCACACTGCTGGTACCAAAGCACTACATGGGGTTAAAAAATAAAAAGGAAGAAACATTCTTGTAGTAGTGTTGCTCTTATTTTGCAAATGGAGCGTGCTTAGCTATGGAAAGTTTTCTGGCACAAAAAAAACCTTGGTACTTTGCCTCATGTTGGACAAGGACACCGGTAGGAGCAGCTCACCTACCACTAACATGAATATTACTTAACTCGTCAATGTGCAAGAAGTAAAATCTGCTACTTTTTTTTGTTTTTTAATACATGGCCACATGCTTTAAGACAGGGTTGATCTGTTAAGTGCTGTGCACAGTTATGCACAGTTAGAACCAATGTATGAGCAGCAATTTTCATCAGTATTTGCTTTATCTAGCATATGTGGATATTTCTGTTGATTTGTAAAAAGCAAGCAAGTCCAGAGAAGACAAGCAGAAAGGAGGGATGCCGGTCTAGGAGGAGAGGGGCAGCAGCCATAAGCTCTACAAGGCCCATTACTCCCCACCTCCACTTCCACATGACATCACAGAGAAGTCTGTTGGAGCCAACATTTTGTTTTTCATTTCTTTGTTAGTTGCTTGAAAATAGCTGCTCCAAGCAGACTGCAGAGCTGCAGTCGCTCCGCACACGCTTTCCCAAAGAGCTCTTGCTGCTCTGCAAAGTGCTATGGAATGCATTTCCCAGATACAACAGCCATGGCATTTCTGGGAGTGCCACCCAGCTCCCCTAGAACTGCCTTGGGAGGGCATGACTACAGCCCTCCCTCGCTCAGTGCCACTGTCTGCAGGTGTTTCTGCCCAAATTCCTTGACCCTGCAAAGGGTCAATTCCCCTGACACTAGGGGCAATTCCCCTGACACTAGCAAATTGCATAAAAAGTGGTTAAGAAACATCATTGGAAAAAAAATAAAAAGATCAGAAATAACCTTCCTTAGAAGGTGCATATTTAGAGAGTAAAAGTCCAAAAAGGCATAGCTACTGTTAGTAGGAATGCATTAAGTGCCACAACTAGAGTTTGCCAAAACTGAAGGCTGAAAGACAGGAAACAATTATTTTTCCTACTTACATATAATTTTTTCATATATAAACTACTCGTGAAAAGTTTTTGACTGATAAGACTCTCCTATCAGGTGTACAGCAACCCACTTTTGTCAACCTTTCGGGCAAGACAGGGGGAATGGTGGAAACTGCCAAAAAGATCCAAGTCTACAGGCCTTAGGTCACATTAATCCTTTGCCTTCCATTTCCAGATGTCTGACTGTATGCGACAGAAATAAACGTGTTCATGACCTATTTAAGCTACTTTCCAAGAGTCTGAGCAGGGTTAATTTAAGAAGTGCTAAGGAAAAGGTTGAACCTTTTAATACAACATGGAAACAGAACTTAGTAACTAATCCCCAGGTGAAAGGAGTGCATATGACGTGGTGGCCTGAGAGTGCGTCAAGGGATCCCATTTCCATAGGCCTGCACTGCTTTTCCCGCAGCGCTTCCAACAGGTCAGGCAAAAGCTTTCTCATCCTTTGGGGGAAGGAGGGGGGCAAAGAAATCCACATAAACAAACTCTCAACCCCAACCACACAATGCCTAGCCCTTCCCGGGGAAAGAAAAAAAAAAAAAAAACACACACACACTCACACACACACACATACAGAAAAAGGTTGTTTCCTAAGCAAGTATTTCTAGTTATTTCAAGGAATAATAAGCAGGACAATTTGTTTCTTAAATCCAAAATTGCAATCATTACAAAGATGCATTTTTTTTTAATGTTTGCTTTTGAATAGCTAGTTCTCCTCTGGTAGGTAATGAATTGTGCTTATACAGTGCAATGCAGACATGACGCTTTATTGCCTTATTGCCATAATGCAAGCACAATATTTCAATTGCCTTGACCATACAAAACTCATCTTTGATTTCAACCCATGCACTTACCTCAACAGGCAAACACATCTATTTCAGATACAGAGACACTGAACACTGATAACTCTAGATTATATAATAATTAGTTCCCGTTTGTATTCTGCACTAGTTTGCACTAACACTGACCAACTGGACAGAGAAGAGGAAAAAAAAATCTTCTGGCATAACTCTGCATCCTCTGGCTGTGCTAGAGTAACAGGACACAGAAGAGGAGGCGAAGGGGTCCCAACAACCACAGAATGATTAAGGTTGGAAGGGGCCTATGGAGATCATCTAGCCAACGTTCCCCCTGTACAGGGTCACCTGGAGAACATGGTACAGGATGGCATTCAGGTGGGTTTTGACCATCCCCATGTAAGGAGACATTGCCAAGTGAACGCAGCAAAGAGATTACTACCACACTATCATCCTGAACAAAAAACCACATGCTAACTCATCTTAATTGCTACCCAACCTCTTTAAAGAAACCTTTAGTTACTTGATTTCAGCAATACCTGGGTATCAAGACCTTAACATAGACTTGGAATTGAAATTCATTCAAATTAAACCTTTCTTCACATCTTCCTTTTGAAGCAAAAACTGTAGGGCAACAAATCAAAGACTATATTTGCCCCATTATTTATTCTTTCGAGCCATCTATAAACAACTATATATCTCCTCAAAGTCTACATGCAGTTCAGCAAAGATAGAGAAAGAATTCAGCTAAGAAGCTGGAGAGAAAATAAAGAGAAACATGATACTCTGTCCAGTAGTAGAACTTTGAGACATAACAGAGGACAGGTTTTCTTTTTCTCCTTTCAGTTCATGAATATGTGTCTATATGAAAGCCCAAAACTTTAAATTTATGTGTTTAAAAATAGAAGCCAAAATAAAGATCTCTTGGCAGCTACAGAACTTTTCTTAGCACTAAAATCTGCAAGCAGATCTGACTGCATTAATAAACAAATATCATTTAAAAAATACTCAATAGTAAAGCATCAGTCAAGAAATGAGTGAAATATACCCCCTTGTACCATTACAACTACAAGATAAAAACCAGAAGGCAAGTACTCACGCTGTGAATAAAGCAGGATCTGAAATTCCAAGAGGGCACAGGTAAAGAGCTGAACCACATTTTCTACTCCAAGCAATTCAAAAACTTCTTTAACAGGAAAATCAAACAACGGAAGTTCACTGGTGCTTGGCCTCTGGCAGACAATCGGTCCGTAAACACCTGAAAATTTTAACGACCTTCCTGCTGGAGGAAGAGGAACCTCATAGAGAATGTTGTAGATGTAGCTTTCCAAAGGTAGAGGTGGTGGCTGAGGCGAAGTCACAGCTTGGTGAAGTTGCTCTAGTACTTTCTTACAGGCTTTCATGAAAGACATGGGTGCAATCAAACAGATGCACTTCGAGACATACAGGGTGTCTCTGCTGATATCATACGAGTTAAAGCGCTGTAGCTTTGAAACAGAAGTGCCATTGCAGTCTCCTGTGCTGCTGCAGCTATCTTTGTCATTTGGGGGTGGAGTATGAAAAATGTCATACTCAGCATTGTGCATATGATATAACGTCTGCATTGCACTGCAGATCTGCTTACTAGTGACTTCCTCAAAAAATGTGAGAGAAAATCCAAATGTCCGTGAGCCATCTTCACGAGTAATAATGAAAGAGTGGAACTGAGGTTCTCTGGAATCTGCTTGGGTCTTGAAAGCAAGGCCTTTCGGCATACACAGCTGCAACAAGAAAGGAAGTGAGAACACTTCAACACTTCTCTCTCCACCTGCCTCCAGAAACATGGGTTGAAACAGGATAGAATCCTGTGGATAGAATCCACCAGCTGCCATCGCATTTCATTTGAAAATTCTCTTGAGCTCTGCATTACTGCACAGCACAGTTCTGACAGTTATAAGAGCTAAAGGAACACATTAAAAGTGCTGTGTTTGGTTTCTACTGGAACTTGTGAGTACTTTGCTATTGCGATTAGTAACAAAACAGCAAAATTCAAACCTGCCTAAAGAAAAATATTTTGATCACCAAGACTAGAAACATGACAAAAAAAGTTATATATTCAGTCTGAATTAAAAAGTCACATTGCATTCCAATTAGCAAATAAGATTCATTAATCATAGACCAATTCATCTGGCAAGTTTCTAGGCTGTAATAAAAGAAATCATAAAAGAACAAAAGATTGTCCTCTGTTTTGACTTTTTAAAAAAAAGCACTATTCCAAATAGATGATCTTTTTGGTCTACACAATTTAGAATAATTCATTGACATTTGACCAGTCTATGCTGGGCTTTGCACTGCAGCCTTTTTATCACGAACCATACAGACAGATGCCTCTACCTGTTCAGGCAGTGTGCCTTAGGAATGAGGGCCACCGTGCTAGCAATACTGACCATTCCCACGGCATCCTGGTCGAAGGGATTCCATTCAACATTCTCAGGATAGCGAGCAAGAACTTTGGACTTAAATGTGCGTCTTAAAGGTGTCTGTTCAAAGTTTTCCCCTGTAGGTCAAAGAAAAATATAGAGGTAAATATTTAATTCCTTCTAAACACGTTCAAATAAAATCAAAAGGCAAGACATCAGTAGGTAGTTGTGAGGAAAAGTGAATTAGGTGTGCACAATTCCTTTAAGAGAAAACAGAAAATGCAGGACAGTTAGTTAAGCATTTAATCAAAGTACAGATATTAGCAAGGATTAGCATTGTAATTTTTCTGTGGCATTACATATCCGTGCTCTCCTGAGGTACGACTACATTAAGATGAGTTTGCAGTTATTACAGCAATTTTCCAAGCAACACTTTATACTTCAGATTCTTGTTAAATGATAGCTAAAGTTTAAGTTTCAGAGGAATCTCCATTTGTTACTGAAGAAAAGGACAAACAGACAAGATGCAAAGATGATGCAAGTTTAAAGCAGACATACAGGTGGCACTAAATTTCTTCTTCAAAGATTTAGAGAAAAGATGGGTATCCACCATATGTTACAAGAGTTAGCTGCAAAGAGAGAAAGTCTAGAAGGCTAAAAGATTAAGAAACATGTAAACTCCCAGGAAGACAGGGTACCAGAAGAAGCAGAAAAACGGAACTTTTCCCCCAACACCTTTTCCTTTACCTTCTGTTGCACTTGAAATGAAACAGCCGGCACCATCTCGGATTTTAGAGGCCTGTATATACTGGCATAAAGCTATATAACAAATAAAAACAACACTGCATTATAATTTTCATACTATTGACTGTAATTATGTAGCTAGCACAAACAGTAAACAACGTTAAGCATTTTATATAGCATTAGCATACATAATAGTCCGCTCACCTGATTCTTCTTACACACACTGATAGTTATTTTATTGCATGAGCTGCAGAAATTTTACAGCAAACACTTCAGATAAAAATTCTTGCAGAAGATGTATGCGAGTAAAAAGCTCATTGTTCCTGTATGCGTATGCACAATACCATTTCAGCAGTAGTAATTAGCTATCTAGTAAATAATGAAGGTTTTCAAAGTTAAACTACAAAATACTCCCTAAGAGCAGATGATGAATATATCCCAGAGACAAGATCACCCCAGGTCCTACAGAATTATAGCCAGGTAGTATAGGCATAGATGTTCACTGAAGAGCTGATCTTGTCCACACGCCTGAAAGGTGGGCTCAGCCTCAGTTAACCTCTCAGATTTCCTCAAGCACAATAGTCACCCACAGTGAGAGCACAGAACTTTCTGCAGTCCCTCTTCTGAATGGGTAGAGTTGATTAAAAATAATAATAAAAAAAAGAGAACTGCCTATCTTAAAAATAATCTCTGCTATCTCACTAGAATACAATTAGAAAAATGAGCATGCAGCTGTTGACAGCTGCACTAACAATTAGGCTGAATTGCATGAAATCATCAGCTTTAAATAAATCAAACTAGTTCAGCAACACCTGCAAAAGTGAAAACATACACTTCAACTCCTCACTTATCTTGCACATAGCAATTACACAGCAATAGAAGTTGATTTCAGAATTGGTTGGGTTTGTTTCATACTTCTACAGTAACGTTTCAAATTCAGTTTCTAAAGCAGCTTAGCATCCTTATTCTGTACAAGACTGACTTGCACTAAGTAGCCATATGTAGAGACAACTAAAACACCAGCTATAGATAATAAAGAATCTAACAAAAGTAATAAACAAAAATTTGTTCCTATGGAATTCTTAAATAAATACAATCAAAAAAAAAAAATCTTTCAACAAGCAATAGTTAATGTTATGTAACTGTAGTGGTTTTGTTTGTTCTTAAATAGAGACCATGCCTTAAATACTGCATCCAACAGGGAAATTTGCCTTGGCACATAGAACAGGTCTTGCAATATATAAAATATTCATATCTATTTTGTTAATGTCCTGTTTTAAAGTACTGATATTAAAAGGAGCGTTTTATTTGTTGTTGCGGCTTTCAGGAAAATTTAAAAAAAAAAAAGGTCCAAGTGTATTGTGGGGAATGTTCAGAAAAGTAAAGAGCACCACTTCACTGAAACCATCCTTGGAAAGATCAAAGTCAGTAACAGAAAAGACTTAGCAATAACAGCACTTATGCAAAGGTAAATAATTTTCAAGAGATGACTATAGGCAAAGAAGCTTCCAATCTCACAAAAAGGAAAAAGAAAAGGGAAAAAAAACCCACCACATTTCTTCTTACTGATGCAAGCACACACTCATTAAATAGAATCCTCTGCAGAATAGGCTTCAAAAATAAGTCAGGAGATTTAGTACACCTACTATTTTCTATATTTAGATCCGAGCAAATGATGTAATATCAGCTTTGAGATAATTGAGGAAGGAAGTTCTTTCCTGAGCTTGGAAACCACCCACTATAACCGCTGGGTTCACATATATGTGTATATATCTAATAATACATAATTACATATACACATACATATAACATATGCATCTAATAAGAGCTTGTGGAGTTGCGGAGCAACAAGGCACTGACAAACTTCCATGTCTAGCATAGACTGCAACACCTTAAATGATTCTGGCCCATGGGACTATAATCTGGGCTTCCTAGTGGCCAGTGCCCTGGACAGTCGATGTGTGCACACCTCTTCGTTAACAACCACGCCTCATTTCAATGCAGTGACTCTTCAGTGAGTCACTTAAGGTTAAGCCAGGGCACGAGGCAGACTGGCAGTGTGCTGGGCTTCTCTGGCTCACTTGACCTCCAAAACAAGTTACTACATGGAGTTTCAAAGTTGTGGGATACAACATTCCTTTAGAAATGTCTGTACGAAACTGTTCATACCAATGAATACTGATTTATACTGATTTTTTAAAAACTATACAGGAAATAGAGTAAAGCAAAACATACTTCAGGAATGTAAAAAACACTAACCAAATGCTCCTCGACTTTGATGGAGCGGGCTGGAAAGAGGCGAGAACCTCAAAACCCTACTTTCAGCTCTTTCCTGATCTACTCAAAGAAATGTCTGATGAACTGCCTTCCATATTCTTCTTGAAGAAAAGATGGTCTTCTCAATATGCTAAAAGCATTTGAGTTCTCAAACTTACACATTCAATTCCTTATGACCTACATCACAATAATATATACTTTTTTTTTACACAAATTTTATCTGAAAGCTAGCTTTTCTAACAATTAGAAAAGACGTAGTTTTGACATATCAAAATAAATAAATCATGACAAGTCCGTTTTAAAACAAGGCAAGATATTCAATTAAAACTACCACTATTGACACTTCACCCACCTCTCCCTCCATTCCCTTCTCTCTTTTTTTTTTATTTTATGCCAATTTTAGACTCGTATTTACCACCTGAACCACAGCAGAGTAATTTTTGGCAGGTGTCACTATTATTACCTGCATCTAAACATAGTAACTGAGAGCATATTTCGTGATCAACAGTCCTTTGTGGTCACGTAATATGCTACACCAATGCTGACACACTCAGCATACACAATATAAATCTAAGCTATCCCTGCCAATTTTACATATGCATGCAAGTAGCTTATGGTAACAAAAGCAAAATATCAAACACACACTGACTGTCCATGTAAGCCTGATTTTTGAAGAACTGTTAATATTGGTACCTTCATTTGTTCACCGAGTCTGCTGATCTGCCCAATATAATTACCAGACAAAAGACATCCAGAAAGCCTATTGATTCTGATTAAGTGGTTCACTGCTTTCATGCTGCCAAGCAGCTTCTTTCTTTAAATTCCTGTGATAGTCTGTTATTCACCCAGTTCATTCACTCTTGAGGTCAATTTATTGTCTATATAACATTTTTGAATGGAAAATTTTATTGAAATAGCAACTAACCAAAATATTAAGTCTAAATTTTCCACAAAGACACCCCTACAAGAATCTTTTAATCATGCAGAGGCTGTATATGCAATTCCTGTTGCCACTAAAATGCATGTCTTACGACTTAATAGTGTAAACATCTCAGACACGAAACAGTCATAATGCTGCAATGAAACAGACAAATAAGAGCTTCGTACCAGCAACACAAAATATGAGCCACACACTCAGCTTTCCTGTGTCACCCAATATATTAGAGAAACTGCATTTTGGATTCACACTCCCCTATGCAAACCTATAGAGTCCTCTGCACTTTCCATACTGTGGTGCAGGGCAGGATGGGAGCTTGAGAACGGACTGACCAAGGCAATGGTTTTCCAGGCATGGGCTGCAAGTCATAAACCAGACAGCAGAAGGGTTTGAGCAAAGCAGGTCCAAGGAACATCACCCAGAGAGCAGCCCATCCTGCATCTGTACTGTGGTTTGACAAACTGAATAGCAAACCAGACCAGGGGAAGGATCTACTGAAAAAAATACATATTGATAGATGGAAGATCTTTTCCAACCATAATAATTCTATGGATATAAATTTATGTGGATATGTACAGATAGATTGACACCTTTTCTTCCTCTTTTGCAGAAGTTTTCCCAAATGGATCAGTTCTCCCATCTGGTTCAGGATTTTCCATCAACACAGCACAAAGGTAGGAAGAAAAAGCCAAGACTTGAACTCACATTACCAAAGAAATTCACACAAATACAATGCCACAAACAGAGGCAGTGCCTGCAAAACGTCAAGCGTCACTGCCTGGACAGAGCACAAGTATTCCGGGCACCATCATCCAAGGGAGTCCACAAGAGACCACTCAGAACTACTAGAAGGTTTCAAATATAGATGTTATTTTATTGTGTTCTACTAATCCTTTCCTGCTTTCAACAAAAGATGCTGTAAAGCACACAACACTGTACTGAGGTGAAAGCAGATGTCACAGCACACTTTGGAAAGAGCATTTCTCATTCTTGGGCTTTAGGTGAAAGCCAAATAAATGCTATAACCCACTTAAAGGGTGTAACACTGGAAAGTTGAACTATTTCCAAAGGTGCAAAAGTGGCATCTATCTACAACTCTAAGACAAAGTCTACTCCAACAACAGCTAATGTCAGAAACTGTAGCAGGCGTCCCAGTCAGCCAGCTACCATGTTCACAATATGCACAGTACAGATACAGATATTAAGATAAATATTTTTCTCAAAAGAATGCGTTTCTTACAAATTATATTGTATTTACTGAATATGAAATTGCTCAGCTCAAATCCATTGTCCAAGTCTAAGGAAAAGATAGATACCTGGCAAAGCAAAGAGTGCACATGACCCCAGAATCTACACCACAGAAAGGATGAAAGACGAGCTGGAAAAGACAGCAAGCCCCAGGGGAGTGGTGTGGCTGGCAGAAGTAAGGACTTTGATTAGCAAAACTGACAGAACACCAATAACTGGCCTGATTAAATTCTGAAAGGAAATATAGGTGCTAAAGATACACACAGAAAGATAGTTATGCCAAAGATCAATGCCTTGAAATCAAAGCCAAAATAGTTCTGTTAAAAATAAGACATCTGCTTGCCAGTAGAGGCAGTCAAGTGTTCTATTTCTGGAAGTCTTAGGAGCAAAACCAGGATATCCGAAGTACTAATTCAATTACTTGACTTTCACTGTACAAAATATTAGATGAAGTGGTAACTTGTTGATCCATTATAGCCCTTCAAATCAAAACCAAAAAACCCACCCAGGTAAGCATTAGGTTGTCATTTTAGCAAACTGCATTTCAATGGCTATAGCTGTAATTATTATACAAAACTGAACTTGTGTTTGCATGTCGAAGAAGTGAACATTG